TTGTTTCCAACATCACCTACCGGGTGCCTTATGTCCACAATGAGCAGGATGACATCTGACATTTCTAACACCCTCCATAGCTGCCTCCATGTCTACAAGAGAGGAAAAAAGTAAAGGTAGAGAGGGAATCCTTAGGAATGCACAATTTCAGTTTTCTCAGCATGACAGTTTATTAGGAAAACAAGCTTTTTCTTAGACATTTTCTTGAATATATAGACTTTTCTCTCTACTTTCATTATCTATCTTAATGTTTTAAAACAAACTCCAGTTCAACAAGCAAAGCAACCTGTTCAGACAAGCAGCTTCTTCATATACGTGTCATTTTTCCATCATTCTCATCCTCGGCTGCACTCATAAAGCCATCATCTCTAGATTACCAAGAGCCACTTATCACACCGGCAGCTGCTAAAGCCCTGCTACTGCTGTGATGATGTGCCTCCTGAGCTCAGCCCACGCTTTGAAATTAAATTATCTGCAGGTTTTCGACTTACATTTTTTTTAATGATTTTCATAGCCAAAACTAGCAAAACTAAAAAGCATTACACAGCATGTAAGATATGATGGTACCTTGTCCCCAGAGAAAAATATCAGATAATACATGGGTACAAAAATAGGCCATATAGATGATCTTACATTCTCACAATTCAATATTCACTACATGCTACATCCTGGAGACATAAACTGGAAGACAGAAAGTCAGTTAGGTACTCATAAATTTACAGGAAGCTCATTAACAAGCAAGATTGCTTCATGCAGTGTCTGCTGCCAAGAGGTTCAACAGGATTCATAAATACTGATTTTGCCTAGAAAAGGTGCTGAAGTCTGAGCCGTTTAAACCTGCTTCATTTAACAAAGATGTGTCAAAAGGCTGCATTCAAAACCTACTAGAATAAAAACTAGTGGGGGCAGAAAGGGTCGAAGCAGGTGTGCACACAGGTGAAGGTTAATAAATGGTCTGATCCAGGTGCACAAGCAAATTGATGAGGTCCGACCTGTATTGCATTACTTGCTGTGTAGTTTAAAAGAACTGAGCAGATTTGAACTTTCTGGTTTCACTGCCAAGACAAACAACTGCAAATTACCTGGAGTGGGACTTTAAACACACACTAGTAACTACCAAGTGCAAAATATCAGCACAAAAATGTAACTTATATAAACAGCAAGTTACAACACTGCAGCTGTGTGCCCCTCTCAGTCCATTAAGCAACAGTTTACATCCAGGCCTGCTCAGACACATATAGTGTACAACATAGATGTTAAGGAATTTAATGAAAAGATATTACGTATTTGAAGGCAATTTATTTGAACTGTAAGTACAGAGGACTGATGAAGATTAATTGTTCCTGAGAATGGGATGGACGAGACATCCATAATCTTACAAGGAATGGAACACCTGAAAACACGATGGCTGTTTTGAAACCACCTACTATACTTGTAGCATACACTTATTTGTCCAAAATGCAGTATGCAAACAAATGCGAGATCTGCAGTATACCAAAACTAACCTGATGTATACTGCTTCTGGAAATATCTACAGTATGCATCAGAGCAGTCTCCCTCACCTACTGATTCCCACAATGCAAAGCGCCAGGTCAGAGATTGACATGACAGACAGCAGAGGCCATAGTAACAGGGGAAATCATAACAATGAGACCAAACCACATAAAGATACCACCAATTTCACTTGTCAGCTTTTTTTCAGACTGTAAGTGGATGCTAGACTTCAACAGCGTTGCTATCAGCTGAGCTGTGATTTACTTCCGCATTCCAAGATGGAAACCAGCTTAGCCGGGACTGGCATACTTCAAAATAACCACAGACTGGCATTCATACTACTGTTGAACACAGTATGCAGTTGGAAAAACAGCTGCTCCCAAGGGACATAGATTACTCTGACCCAGAAGCAAAAAAAGAATTAATGAAAAGAATGAGTTCATAGTCTAACCTGCCAATTTTATAGCCAAATGGCACCTTGTGAGTTAATCAATGATGGCACTAACCTCAAGATTGTGCTCAAAGTGGCTAAGAGAGCCAGGTGGGTTTCTAGAGTGCAGGTCATCCAGGTACTCTCTGTATGACTTCTCCTCTTTCCTCATTAGGTTCTCTCGGGTCATCTCATAATTCCAGGACGGTCGTCGTGGGAAACCAAGACCTGGCAGTTAATAATCAAGTTTCAATGAGTCAAGCGGTGACTCACTCTGTTCATCTGTTTGGCTTATTTTCAGACGGTCATGTGTAAAGCATAAAAGTTAAGCAGACCTTTGTCTGAGGGGTAGATGTCATGGATGTTTGTCTCAAGTTCTTTGTCTGAGATAGGCTGCAGCACCTTCTCCATGGCCAACTTCTTCCTCTTTTCCACCTCTTCTTTACTTTCTTTCTCAAAGTGCAGTCGGAACCTGAGGGAGCAGTCAAGGAGGGTTATTAATACAGCTTATAAAATTATTTGGCTAGAATTGGTTGTTATATCCAAAAAGTGGATGACTAACCACGCAAAATTGACAGACAATTTACTTTTTCTATGTATGTCACTTCATATCACACACTAAGAAACCAGATGTCTAAGTCAATTTATGTTTAGAATATGTTTTTAATCCCATTTTATTGTTTTCTATAGACAACCATAATGTAAGCTTAGTCCACTAAAATAAAATCACTTAATAGCAGTGTTGAACACCTGGTCACTTTCTCTTATTACCGTCATACTCTGCCATATTGCTCTAATTAATTATTTAAGACTACCAAGCAGCAGCTTTTTTGGTAGTTCAACTTTTTTTTGCAACAGAAAATGCATTTTGTCAAATCAATCACTCCGACAGCTTATAGAGCATACTGGTAAACAACAGAGTAACCAAAAGGTGGTGTATTGGTAAAAGCGAAACAGAAAAATGAAGGACAATTATTGTCATGACATGAAAACACAACCTAGACAAAGACAGTTAAATGTGAAAACGAAACAGGAGGGTAAAATAAAGGCCTCAAAGAAAAGAAAGTAAAAGTAAGTTTAAGTTGAGTTTTAATTGGGTGTAGGTAATGGCAATATCTAAGGAAGAGTGAGAGATATTTCTATAGCTTAGGTGCTATGATTGCATAGGAGAGGACACCACTAGGAATGTGGTGGGGAACTGTGTGCTGGGAAGGTCAAACATGTAGGGGTGCCAGGCTGTTGGGAGCTTGCATGTATTTAAATCAACAGATCGTAAAAAAAGAATACAAAAACAAAAAAAGAAATTTAAACTGATAACTCACCTGTTGGGGTCATATCTACCTTCTCTGCTAAAGGGTTGTTGATTTAGTCTCCTAATATCAGTGGTCTCACTGTCTGAGGTGTCCGATTGTCGTTCTCCTCGCTCGACGCTGGCATTGCGGCTGCTTGGCCCAGAACCTGTGTCACCTGGACGGCAGAGGCAAGGAACAGGAGTCACAATAAAACACAGGCTTATATCATACAGATATACCGGTACTTTTTTCACTTATTAGTAGTTAGAGATATCAATATATCCTGTGCGTTGGCTCAGCCAATTCCTAATCATGAGAAAGTCTGGTATCTTTACCTTGAAAAGGGCCAACAACTTTTGAGAAATTAAACAGTGAAGTGTTTCCAATATAGAAGGAAAAAAAAAGTTTCATTTAGATTGTTTTGACAAGTTTACAGCTTGACTATACTGACTCAATATACTGGTGAAGGCACAAACCAGCAACTGATTTGACTGTAATTCTAAATATTTTGCCAATATCGACAGATTAAAATGTTATGTTCAAGCTGGTTATTGTATATTGTGGTGAGAATTGTACCTGAATATACTGCTTTTGAATAACCAACTATCTTTCAGCAAACATGTCATCACCATTCAATGTTGTTATAAAGTCATTGTAGGTAAGATTACACCTGCCCTGCTGGATTAGCACTCAATTGTACCTGGTCAAAAGACTACAAATAATTGTTATGCCGTTTCATGCCTGTGATACCAAGTTACAAGTTATTTTACAATGCTTGTTTTTGCAATTAGCCTGACTTGACAGACAATTTGTGTTTTTCTTTCACAGGCTCAAAGTGATCTCATGCTCTACTTGTACATCTTACGTAACCAAACACAACAGTCACCAAAAACACTTCGCTGCTTCACTAATGTCACATTTGTCTGAGCAGCACAAACCGTTAGCTCAGTGCTAACGCTAGCATGGTAACGCTAATAGAAAATGCAGTTACCTCTCTTTCTCTCCCGTTTGACTTGTAGCTGTTTCTTCTTCTGTTTGTTGCTAAATGGCTTTTTCCTTGGCATACTTAAAAAATAAGCTGGTAAATATATATAAGCTAAGCGCTATAAACTCTGTTAAGCAGTTCTCTTGTTGGCGTTATTTACATGGGGAAGTTTCTCGACTCCTACACTTTTCAGTGACGCCATATCTACTGCAGACTGCAGAGAACGGTGGACGATACCACTTTTCCGTGTTCGCAATGTGTTTTAGGTTGTAGATAAGATTGACACCCTTCATTAAGCAGTCATATTAAGAACACGTTTTGCGCCATGTAACCACCTTGCCCCTTGTATGTTAAAATAAAACAAACCCGGTACCGTAATAATGCTGGTAATATTTTCATTAAACCCCTCTTCTCTAATGGTACAGGCCACTTTTGTAAACACCGCACTACTATTTGCACATTCCAGCAGAGCAGACATGCTTAAAACAATAAATACATTTGGGTGCACAATACCAACATTGATATCATGCGTTACACAGGCAGAAGTAACAGATTATGTTATCCATTAGGTTTATAGCACAAAAATGTAGTCGATAGTTTTTCTGTAAAAATAGGTTTCACATGTTTTTTTTTCAAAGCTTGGAAAATGTCAAGTGTTTGTATTTTTTTGAGTATTTATGAATAGTTCTTAATTCTTCATTCGAATATTTTGTATTAATTTAAAGTGAGTGCAGTGCTTCAGGAAAATCTACCGTATTTATCAAAGCATTTACTGAATCTGAAAAAATTCCAATGAAAATAATTTCTGAGGGTTTATTGTAGTTTAAGCTGGGAAAAAAACATGTGTGTGCGGTATGTGTGTAAAGAAATATTATACACATTCTTATTGTGGAAGTATAATAGCAACACATTTGGATAACATTACTTTTAGGACATACACACAAAGCTGTACAGTAGGATTACATGAAACATGAACAGACTCAGTATGTGAGTCACACCATGTGAATCACACTAATGGATCTAAATGGGTTATAAGGATCACCTCATCCTTTAAACGAACAATCATACTTTATAAACTGGTTGTATATAAGTATATATACTTGACTGCTATTTTTTCTTTTCTGAAAAGGAAATAACATTGATGTCCCTTTTATGGTTAGAAAGTATTATTTCATTATTTCAGGAATTTATTTTACAACATTGCAGAGGTTTTAACACTTAGAAAAAAACACCAAAAGTCTTTGTACGAAAGTATAAAAATGTACCTTCACAGTCGATTGCCAATTTTCTGAAACAGAGAGGCCTTAGATTGATTTGACTGAATCTGAAGTGATAAAACAATAAAGAGAAGAAATGTCTCTTCGAGTCTTTTCCCTATCATAAAACCATCACTGTGATGGACTGAAAGATACTTTATTGCAATCTTTTGATCTATTTTCTACTCCGACAGGAACAGGTTAGCAACGGGGGAAAAAACAAGGCAGAAAAAACCAACAAAAAAAAAAATTCAACAAAATCTTCAGTGAACTGTGTTACCACACTGCTTATCCTGTTAGTCTCAAACCATTGTTCAGGCACAGTCTTTTGTGTTTTAAAGTTCCTTTATCATTTAATTATTGCTTTTTTTCTTCATCCTCCATATTTCAAAACAATATTCCGCTTCCCCACCGCCCAAACTCATTCCTCTTATAAAACTCTAAGAGTTGAGGTGCTCCACTTGAATGGTGGAGGCCGACACAGTGAGACAGAGGTCCTTGTGGGAAGTTAGATCCGCTACACTGACTGGCTTGTACTGGATGTCACTGGCAGAGACTGTTTTATACTGGTGCAGGTCAAATGGACAGGAAATGGTTTCTGTCTGGGGGTAGTTGCTCTGGCTCTGCCCCTGCTGGCCTCCTCCACTCCCAGCTCCCCCAAGTCGGCTCGCTCCTCCTTCTTCGTTTTCCACCTGGCCCTGAGCTGCAGTCTGACCCTGGGCCTGGCTTTGGTTGTGGTTCTGGTTCTGTTGTGTCGACCGTGCTGCTGCTGCACTCAACTGGTCTGGGTTGTGTTTCTCCATGTGTTTCACCAGATACGTCTCCTGAGATGAAGAGAGGATAGGTAGAGGGGAAACAGTGGACACATGACTACACGGTGTAAAGTAGCTGCCAGTTGTCTGACACCAGAGAGGCGATTCATAGTTTTTCATGCAGAAATGCTCTTCAGAAAAGGACATCGATCTTACTGAGGTATAAGTACGGTTGCAGAGCCCACAGGAGTAGATCCTTGCGTGTTTGACAGTGTGTGTGGACATGTGCACCTCCAGACTTGCTGAATCTACATATCCTTTATTGCAATTGGTGCACTTGTAGGGCTTGTCCTTGTTGTGTTGACGTCGATGAGACTATAATTGGAAAGAAAGGTTTCACAATACAGCAAAGGGCTCTCCAGATAATAACATTACATGAACAAGAAGCTAAAAACTATCACACACCTGTAAATTTGAAAGTTGTGTGAAAGATTTCTCACAGCCTGGATGTGAACACTTATAGGGACGATCTCCTGTGTGGATCCTGGATTGAATAAAAAAAACAAAAAAACATATGCATATACATTCACAGACTCCTAGCACTTTCATGGTGATCTATCGGCGCGCAGGAAGACGCTAATGCAAGTGAGAAACCCAAGACCAGTGATTGACTTACCTGTTGTGCTGCTGAAGGTGACTGAGCTGTCTAAAGCTCTTTTGGCAGTACGAGCAGGAGTAAGGTTTCACTCCGGTGTGTATGCGGACATGTTGGGCCAGGTAGCTTGAGTTGGCAAATGACTTGGTACAATGTGGACACTTGTGAGGCTTCGACTCTGTGTGGTTCCTGATGAGGGCAGATATGAGAAAGGAAAACAGATAGTTATGGTATACTGAAAAAAAACATCTGCTAATGTGTATGAAAGTATAGAAAATGATCATCTCAATTTATCAAAACCTGTCAGATTGAAGCACAGAAAAATTAACTCAAACAAAATGTTGCCACTTAGTATCAGTTACAAATTATTATTATTATATTATATAAGCATTAACATTAACCTCTAAAATTCACTCAATCACAAAGTGACAAAGCACGAGTGTGAATTATTATGACACTGTCCTTTCATGCATGTCATTCTGCTCTGGGTGATTTGGAAGTCAAGAAGAAAAAGATATGTTGAATGTAATAATTTTGCTGAATGGTCTTATAAATGCACCCATTTAGTTAGTTTGTGCCGCCACAAACTTCTTTCAAATAATTTGATGAAAGAGACAAGCCAAGAAGAAAAGCAACAGGACGACTAGAATCAAATGAATGCAGAGAGCAGGAAAGCAAAGCATGGTAACAAAGGAATTCTGTAGTAATTTACCATTCAATGGAGAAAGCAAGAAAAAAAAGCATCGACAAGGAAGTATACCAGACAATAACTGGACAGTTTGAATGGGAAGCACAATGGAACAAAGTCTGTATTTGGACATGTATTTCTTATTCTGTATATGTGAGTTGTGTGTGTTTGGGAGGCACTGGCAGAAGAAATGACAGAACATGCAAACAAAAAGAAAAAAAAAAAACATAAAGAAAAAAATGCAATACAAGCTACACAAAGAGAAGCACAGTCACAAATGAAAAAAGAAAGAATGGGCAAAATATGCTCATTATATCAAATGAATATAACAGAGCTCCATGCATTTCAAATGCCCATTCATATGATGGTATAAATTATGAAAACATGTGAACTTAGAAAGATATCATTTGACTTCCATTTTTCTGAAAAGGTCACTTCTGGATGGAAGTGTTAGCATGCCAACATTAAATGGCTGTGAAATAAGCATCTGCACACCACTCCATCCTCTTCCCCAGGAGGAAGAAAAAAGGAGTCTGGGCTTCTAAAAGTCACTTTGCAGAGTAAGTTAAAGGACAGGGGGTTTGGGGTTGGTAGCTGGGAGGTGGGGTCTGCAGTACCGTGTGTGCTGCTGTAAATGACTGAGCTGCCTGAAAGATTTCTGGCAGTAGGAGCAGGTGTAAGGCTTGGCCCCGCTGTGGATGCGGATGTGCTGGGCCAGGTAGCTGGAGTTGGCGAATGACTTGGCGCAGTGAGGACACTTGTGAGGTTTGGCCTCTGTGTGCGACTTGGAGTGGATCTGCATGTCAGACTTACTGAGGAAGGTCGCCGCACACATCCGGCACCTACAGGCGGAGAGACACAGAATTGGGGAGGGGGGGGCCAGGACGGACAGAACAAGAAGGAAGGAGAGGGACACATATATAGAAAAGTAAACAGAAGAGAGAGAGTTGGAAGAAAGTAAAATGGACAAGAAGGAGACAGGGGAAGGAAGCATTGACCCACAGAAAGAAATGAGAAATGATGGAAAATGAAACTCAAAATAAAAAGGAAAAAAGGATCATGTAAGATATATAAATGCAAGCAGGAAGGGAGGGGGGGGTAAATCAAATGTAGAAGACGTGTGAACACAGGATAAGTTGTACGGAGAGGTATTAAGATACTTGAAAAAGTAAAAAGAGTGCTTGAGAGTTTATAACTCCAAGAGCATGCAATACAAAGACAAAGAGGACAGTAGCGACCAGATAGCAATTCATGTCCAGTGTGCGGAAACAAAAAGGGCATCTACGAAGCACTGATGTATTTGTAGTTCAAATACATTCGGGGAAGGAATCAACTATCCTCTACAGAAGCAGGCATGTTCTGCCACAACATGCAGTGAAGGGCAATCAAAGGAGTGTGTGTGTGTGTGTGTTTCAGATATTTTTTTATCAAGCCAGCCAAGCTCATCTACACAAGCTGGTCTTCTCTATGCTGATTGTATCAGGACACAGAGCAAGAGGTGTGCTTACATTCAGTAGCTAGCGCAAGGCGAAACAGGGATGCACAGCAGGTGTATTTTGACACTGTACCTGTAGGTCTTAGTGCTATCTTTTGTGCCGTGGTCTTCCTCTTCATTTGACAGGTCATATGGGTCTCCAGTATGATGTTGCAAAGATGCCAACTGTCAAAAATAGTATTCAAAGTTAACTTATCATCCTGTTTATTATCGATAGTTCTCTGTCAGAATCTCTTCCCTTTTTGAATTCTTACCTGTCCGCCAGCTGTCAGGTGAGCCAGTATTAGCGTTTCATTTCCTGTTCCACCCATTCCACCGACCCTGGAAAGTGCCGTCTTTTTTTTCCTGCCTCGCTTGGAGGCCGCAGGCATCACGACCACATGGGAAGACCCATCGCCTTCTTTTCTGTCTACAAATGAATCAAAAGCTCCAGGTTAGAAGGATGTAATCATCCTTAATCAAGTTGCAGAAGGTGTTCGCCAATACGCTGGACAATTCTCATGTTTATAAAAGTGCATATTCTTTAAAGTGTTAAGTACATTCAAACAAGGTAGGACAAAGAAAATTAGTGTTAAACTAAGCTATTTCTTATTAGATATTTAAAAATAAAGCTCCTATAATGATGTAAACAACTTTAAATAAATAAGAATGCACAAACACACCAATCATTTATTGGAATGCTGTGACAGGATGTGAAGGATACATTTCGTTTTAAGGAAAACTGATTCATTTAAAAGTGAAGAACAATTAGTCACTGGCACTGCCACTGATAAGTCATTAAATTTAAAGTTGCTACTTTTCCCTGATTTGTTGCTATGCAACTGCTGAAAACAGTATGTGCTTGAAGAGAATAGAACTGGGTTGTTGCTCAGAGATTTTATAAAAAGACAAGTGAACAAAACCTCTTTATATTTCTCTCATACCATGGACTGAACATGGTGAAAATAACACTCAGAAAAGACAACAGGGGCGGCCATGTTACAAATCTTTACAACAACTTAATGGATTACAAAACAATTGATTTTCTTCTTGTTTTTGGTTCTTCTGCTCATTGAAGGACTAAAAGGATAATTGCACATAAGTGTATATCAAGACAACGACAAAAAACAGTTAACATTGTCGTTTAAAAAAAACAATTCCAGGTAAGACGATGCCTTCAGGTGCCCCCTCGGGTTCACTGACTTTCCCAAGGACACTTTGACATGCAGACTGAATAGGGCAAGTTAAACTGTACTTCTTTAGTCTGAGCTGTAGCTGTTGTCACAACCCAGAGAGACATATGGCATGGAAATATTTCTGTGTGTGATTTACCTGCAGAATGGAGTGCTGAAACAATCATGGTCGTTGCTGGGTGACCAGAGACAAATGACTGAGACGAGGTGGGTGACACTAATGTTCCCTGAGGAGTTGTGATGACCAGACCCGCTTCAGAGAAAGTCACAGGAAAAAAAAAGGACAGCAATCAGACTGTTAGTATTCACTTTTTCACATACTGTGTCATACTATTAAGCGATCTACTAGCCAGAGGTGTTTGGCTAGTGCTAGAAAAGAGTGTAATAGCACAGCACTTCTTCTCCGCGGTTTGTAGAAAGCCCTGAGGTTGTAGCATGAATTAGGACACAGAATTGTTATTCTGGCACCTACCCTTAGCCCATTGTGGAGCTTTGAGGTCCCATGTGACTCAGATTTAATTTGTTCTCATCAACTTAACAATTGAGTACATCACTGATTCCTATAGTTTAGAGTTAAAGTCATGAGTTCTTAATCCAGCCTAAACCTTTGATGTGGTTCAGATGAGAAACTTTACTTTTGTAAGATATTATTTAGAATGTATCATGGAATAAACAGGAACAGCCTCCCACTGAGAGAGACCCAGAGGCTTCTCGCTACGCAGACACTGACTCACCTGCTGTCATGATGCCCGTGGAGGGGACAGACAGCATGTTCTGGGTGCTGTGAGGAGGGTGGAGTTGTGCCACACTCCCAACCTGCCCTCCTCCATCTGTTTTTGTCCCATGAGTGGGGATGGTGAGAAGAGCGGTTTGGTAGTGTGATGCAGGAGAAGGAGAGAAGCAAGCACTCTTTTCCTGTTGCTCTTTCACTTTGTTCAGGAACATGGCATTTTCAATCTGTCAGTAGAAAGGACATGTTTCACTTGAGCAACTAGACTGGTTCATCTTTTTCTTAAACTCCCATTACACTCCTCAAAAAAGATACATCTTATATGACTCATAAAGAAGTGACAAACTCTTGATTTTTTCCCCCCGACATACCTGTCCTGATACAGTGGGGATTGGAGACCAAAAGTATGATGAATTGAAGTGAGAGTCTTCCATCATTTCTGCAATGACACAAATGCAGCTTTTATTAATTCCTGTAATTACCTCATTAGTACAACCCCTGGTTACTTTGTACAATGTCATAGAAATACTACAAACACATAAACAACCTTGCACAGGCCATAACAGTTCAAGGCACAGTAAGAATTGCATCTAAACACAACACTACATTTTGTGATCCAAATATTTAACTCAACCCACAAATGTAAACTGACAGATGTTGGCAAACAAGTTTTGTTTACACATGTAGGTAATACAAACCTACATTTCCAATTTTTGATTAGCTGAACACCAAACTGGATAGATTTAACTGTAAAATTGGTCCAAATTAACTCCTCGAGCTCATAAACCATACTGTATGTACACATCTGCATTTGGTTTCTCTCAGATTATAATTGTTTTATTAATTTACATGTGGCCTAATACGATTCCATTTTCGATTGAAGAAAAAAAACAGCAATAAGATAAATAGTTTCAACCACACAGTCCCAACTATGTTTTATTTACAACACTCAACATTTCCACTGTGTTGAAAAGGCCTATAATTAAAGTATTACAAACGAATTGGCACACATTGAATCTGTGACAGGTAATGCAGTCTTGGGACCAACCCTTCAGGAAGCAAAATAATATAAGAAAAAAAATTTAAAAAGATTGACACGCTTAAAAAGAGATATTCAACTATGTATATGTTAAAATAAAATGTACATTAAAATAAATACTAATACAATAAAGTAAATACTAACTCCATAAATGTTAACGCTATCGTCTATGTGGTGTAATTTTTAAACTTCCGATGTGCGACGCAACTGTAACAAATGGCTTTAATGGTTTTTAGCGCCAAGTTACAGTACTGTAATGACATAATGGTATATACAGCAGGTTCAACTTGTCCGCTAATGTTAAAGTTGACTCGACAGACTGACATTACATTTAATGTAGACCAGCTACCGACTATCGCTCACTTTAAAAACACCAAAGATAATATAGTCACGGTGTTGACAAAAAGCAGCAGCTAAACACAAGGACTCCATTTCGGTTCCTCTCATGTTGTAGTTAATCAGGCCCGACGCGCTGATTTACATACAGTTAGCTCGCAGACAGCACAGTGTGTCTGTAGTGCCCTCCTGCTTTGAAAAAAACATAACAAGCAAATGCAAAAAAAAAAAAACCAAAGGATAAAAAAAAAAAACTGCAGCGAAAAGAAAAAAAACCGATAGACAATCCTCACAGACTTCCGGCTGTGGAGACGGGTGGAGAGACGACAGCGGAGTCATGCAAACCTAACCAAAAAAATACAACCGAATGCATGAAGAATAGTGGCGTTTACCGATTACGGCGAATTCGTCTCCCTCCCCGGGACTCCCCTGGACCAAGACTCCTAGGAAACAGTTTTTCAATCGGCCTCAAATTCCTCCAAACCAGCAAAGTTTTTTCCCCTCTTGGCAATTTTTTTCAGTTTTTTTTTTTTTCCTCCCAGTGAAGTAGCTGCCTCATCTAAAGCTTCACTTCCTCCGGATAAGGTCGTCAGACAAAGAAGAGCGTAGTTTGATGTCACTTCCTGTGCTGGTGGACTGGCTAACTTTCTTGAAATCGTATCAATTTGTCGATTTGTATCCGTAAAACAGCAGCTAAATTGTGAATCTCCGCGGATTTGAAGCACATAAAAACAGGACTTTTGGTCTTAATTGGTTTCGTTTGAGCCTCAAGCCAGAATGCCGCATTCAAATGCCGTCGGAAAGCAACACAGTCAAAAGAGGTGTCAGGGCATTGACAAAATTATTTATCACTCTGCCAGATTTCCCTTCAATATAAATGCCACACCTCATATTGCGAAATTGTCCTCTTAACGAACTTTCCCCCCAAAAATATGCAAATGTACTCTTCAAAGGTGTATTGTGTATTCCTGAGAATAGAAGATGTGTAACATGAAATGTACTGTAGGCTATACATACTACACTCAAGATGAATAACTGTAGGGTACTGTAAACTCGTGTCGTCTCCCAAGCATGGATGGATTACCTGGGGGAGCCTCCAAAAGCCTAGGGCTCCGTGGAGGATTGAATTAAAGCTCCATGGGACCCCCGCTATCCAACACCCTGCAGCCATTGCTGTTGCCCCATTGGTAATCCAGCCTGGAGAGAGGCCCTGGAGATAGAAAATTGTTATTAATCCAACACCTTTGCCAAAGGAAAAAAAAAAGGTTATTGTGGTACTTTTAAGGCCAAACAACGTCCACTTCGTAGCTTCAATGTTTATTTGATTAATCAGGTTGAGAAAAGTTCGACTACTATCTTGATAATCAATTCATAATTTGAGCTATTTTAAATAAAGTGCCAAAATGAATGCCACATATTCAATGCTTACTGATTCTCAAATGTGACACTTTATGGATTTTCAATGTTCTTCAGTTAATAAATAAGAAGTATATTTTCTTTTTTAATGTTATGGCAGTGACAAAGACACTTAGAGGATGCAGCACATGCACTTACTGTTTTGTTATTTTTTTCAATGGCACAATAAACCTTTGAGTATACCAAACATTGTCACACATTGCTTTTCAACACAGTACATCTATTGTTGGTGTTTATTATTGGAACAAAATAAAATAGTTTTGCAAAAGAATAAAACGTTTATGGACTGCCTTCACAAAAGTTGATAGTATAAGATTTATTACACACTTTATGCTTTTAACTTGCCAATGAACTAATCAGAAGTAGTAGTATGTATAGACTTTTTAATACAGAGTGGAGTAATTATGGAGTAGAACAAAAACCTTTGCATTAGTTTATATATAGAATTATTCATGGTTTTCATTGTCCATCTTTGATTTTGCTCATGAGCCACAGATCCACTCTGTAGCACTTTATAAAGTGGAGCAGTTTTGTTTTTTTCAGTCTCACGACTTGGGAGTCTTTAAAATACGAGCCAGTTGACTGGCACTTAAATGCAGCACAGCTCTACAGTTGACGTAATTATTTGACATTAGCAAGACTTTGTGTATTCATGAAACATCGGAGATTTAAATGCACAAACGATAACGTCTTCCCGTGGTGCCCAAGGGAAACGTTACATGTATTTAAAAATGTCTCGGCATGTAAAGTGTTTCTGAAGGCAGTTCTCTCACGGCCCACACGGTGGCGCTGTAAGGACAGTACTACACGTCTACTCCGCCGTAAACATCCGGCGACACGTCTCTCAAACATAGCGCTGAACCGCTGCAGACGTCTTTATTTATTTAATCCTCTCCAGACTTTTCATAAATGAGAAATGTTGTGTCTTTGACGTTTTGAGACTCTGCCAGTTCGTTTTAAGTTTTTTTTTTTTTTCATAACCTGCGGCGCTTTAGTCAAGCCCGGAGCTTCAAATGGGGGAGGTGAGGAAGCTGCAGAAGAAGTTAAGACAGATTGAAAATCTGGAAATAAAAATCAGTCTTACCTCAGAAGAGAGGTTCAAGGTACGGGAACACTTATCTTCCTTTCCCGTCCTGTTAATATGATCTGTGTAACCTGTTTGACTCTGGCAAAGCCTGAAAAGATTTCCCCCTTTGGTGTGAAACCGAGTTGTGACTGCAGCTCAGACTTTACTAAAGCACAGACATGGCTTAAGTTTAAATAAAAACTCAAGAACAAATCTTCACCAAGACACGTTGAAGATCAGTAGGAAAGGTAGAGTTGCATATTAAAACAGCGCATTGAAGTAGGCTTATCACAGCACATCAGATATGGCACAAAGGATTCAAGCTCACTTGGTTAAATAAAGATGACATTTTAATGGCGTTATGAAGTTTTGAAGTTAGGCTTCTTAAACTAGAAGTAACAATTTTGCTCTCTTAAAGAAGAAAAATATGTGATTAGCATGAATTAAAGATAAAGTTGGGATGAATAATTTGACAGTTTTTGCCTTAGGAATGTGAGAGATCAGAAGCCCAGACTCTGAGCTGAGTGCATCAGACAAAATAATGATCAGGAGCCTCAGGAGAGCCTCACTATGTGAAAGGGCAGAATCTGAATGTTGTAAGTTATGGCCATGCCCTACAAAAGTGTATTTTCTTGACAGAACTTCCCCTTTTGCATTCACTGTTAAGAAGCACTTAAATAAGATAAGATAAGATATACTTTATTCATCCCAGCAGGGAAATTTAGGTGTTCCAGCAGCCAGCATACATACAAACACACAACACAACACATATATACATACACATCCCACACATACAAAAAAACATGAGCCCACAATACAGTTTGATATATGATATATGCAACTCAGGCTAAAGTTTAAAAAAAAATGTAAGGCTGGCCATGCTCACACCTACAACTTGAGAGGAGTTTGTGGTGACAACTTCTGTTATGCTTTATTTTGTAAGTTCCATATCCTAAATTCATTATCGCGAAAGACACTAAAATGACCAATTAATGAATGTTTAACAAAACCAAAACTAAATCTCTTTAAAGTAGAGGTCAACATGATTACAATAACTTATCTACAAATGAAAGCTGTGAACATAGGATTTCACATTCTTGTCTTAAAGCTCGCTGTTGTAACTGAATCCATTTAGTGACAAGTACTGTCTGTGAGTCTTTCCATTGTTAGATGCTACCTTTTCACTATTTGCCCCAATATAATAAACTCCATGACACTTGTTTCTTATGGAATTGTAGCCTAATGCAAGATAACCTCTATGACATCATTATTACATTAACATGAGTATTTTCACAGGTCAAACATAGATCTAATTGAGCCACAAAACACATGCTAGAAGTGTTTTCACAATCAAATGTTAGATCTGTTTGTGTCAAATTGGCGGAGTGCTCCTTTAGCAGAAGTAAACATCCCTTGATGTCAAGGAGAGATGCTTGATTCACTAATTTGGACATGTTTCATTACTCACATTAAGGCAGGAGTTCTATGTGTGTTGCCAGTAGCAGCCTAATAAATCTCGACAGTCTGAGCATGTTGGTTGTGCATATAAACAACTTGTGGATTTAGCAGCTTGGTTCACAACCAATCTCGTGCCTTCTCCCCTCTCAGATCTCCAGGAAGGCGGAGCTGCGTTCCAGATTGGCTGAGCTTCAGCTGCAGCTTTCTGGCCCGCAGCAAACTCTGGGGATTGTGGGAGACGGAAAAAAGGAGAAGATGAAAAGACAAGTGTAAGGAAGTGAGGGAGAGGTACAAGCAAGGGAGGGAGGGAGGGAGGGAGGGAGTGTGTGTGTGTGTGTGTGTGTGTGTGTGTGTGTGTGTGTGTGGGGGGGGTGCATAATTCTTCAAAAGCAACAACATTCACTCTGAAGCCTTTGATCTTTTTGTATGACTAACCAAACATACTTTGAGTCAAATGCTGTCACGCTTCAACAAAAAAGGGAACTTTCCACAGTTCAACATGTGTCATGTAAATATCAGTCAGGGATGTCATTCCCCCCTATTAAAGCTCCTCCTCCTCTTCCACCCGAATGAAACACGAGCATTCTTTCTGAAACCCGGCTCATTAAGGAGTAATGTTTTTGTTTGTGTGCGACTTCCTCCACAGGTAGGATGTTGTGTGCAGTTTGCATCTTGATTATTCATTCAGCTCTTGCTTTCTGCACTGGCACAGGGAGGATGCCCCCGAGGCCCTTCCATCACAAACGCCTCCAGCCTCCAAGATCCTTAAGGGAGAAGAGGAGTCCAGACCTCGAGAAACGCCAGCGCCGGCTGCCAGGCCGAGAAAGACAGGAGGGGGAGCAGAGACAGGTAGACGGCAGGAGAGGACAGAGCCTGCCGAGGTGTCAGCTCACAGCCCAGACGTGTCAGGAGGCAGTCCGGACTCTGACAACCAGAGGCTAGTGCAACAGGAAGGTGGGCTAATTCTTTAAATAGTAGCCGTTATAACATTGTTATTACAGTTAAAAGTACAAGGCAGTGACCTAATTTGTGATTAACATCTAAAATCAGATTAATGCCCTGAGGAGTCCTAATACACTCATATGACTGCCAGTGTTTAAACCAACAGACGGCTCTTGTTTCCCTGAAGACGAGACGCAGGCGTTGCTTCCTTGGAGCTAAATTAGCGCCACCCATCGCCTCAGCAAACTAATCCATATTGAAGAAGTGTGTAGATGAGCAAGCTGGGGCGCTGATGAGGCAACATTGCTAATTGCACAAATCATTTTTCTCTTGCAGAAGCAGAATTTTCATCCCTGCAGTCGTCTTGGGAGAAGGCGAAGTTCCGCTTGAGGCTGTTGGAGGGCCACAATGACATAGTCACCTGCGTGGTTGCTGTTGACAACCTAGTTGTTTCTGGAAGGTAAAGCGAGGCCTCGATTTGCATAATGGATGTGCAAAGTGAACACTTCACCTAATTTATCCCTTAATATGCTCCTGCTTTCTCCCTCGCTGTCTGACATGTATTTGTTTTTCTACCCCCACCCGACTGCTCGCCGCAAATCTCTAGCGATTTCCGCTTAACGTCTTTTAACTTTGCTTGCTTACGCTGCCTCCTCTGACTCACTGTAACTGCATTTTTTGTCTTCCCATCCCCGCTCTACCCTCCTTGTCCTCTAAGCCGAGATACGACAGTGAAGGTGTGGCACGTTCCCACAGCAACGGAGCACAAGAACCTGGGGGGTCACACTGGTGGGGTCACCTGTCTGTCTGCGCCTCCTCCTGAGTACTGCAGGAGGCTGGGTGAGGACTCGCATACAAACAAACACACACACACACACACACACACACACAAGTTCTTACATGTACTACAGCTGAGTAATTCTTGTGTCCTGCAGTCTGGTAATTATAGGAGCAGTTCATCAGATCAAGCCCAGTGAGAGATAACCTCAGCAGACACTTTAGAGAGCTTGGTGTCTGTCTGAAGCAGGCAGCCCTCCATCACTTGAACTCCAACGTCTCCCCTCCCACACTGTGTGTGGGGGGGGGGGGCACACACACACACACACCCCAACTTAAAATACAAAGTCGAGTTTGCATCACATGAATGATGCTGCTTTAGTCACACTGTGTACATCAATATAATTATTTGTTTCTTTTTTTTTTTAAATCCTGTCTCTGCCTTTGCCTCTTCCCCACAATCTGTCTCTTTCTTCATTTTGTACATCATCACTTATTTACAGCTTCCCTCTCGGCTTAATCTATTTTGTCCTCTCCTCTCCCTCTCTCTTGTCTCTGATCCCCGTTCCTTCCTTCTCCTCCACATACTTGTTCTCATCCTCCTCCTCTTTCCCCTCCTGCTCTTTTGTCTGTGTTTGCCCTCTCGCCAGCCCGGTCCCTGTCTCTGTCCGACAAGGAGAGATTTATTTTGAGCGGCTCAGCAGACTGCTATGTGAAGATCTGGGCCCTGAGCATTGGTACGCTTAACCACACACACACACACACACACACACATACTAAAGTTGGATACGTGTTTTATTAAACTTGATGGAGCCTCAGGGCGCTGACTTGGAAACACGTGTGCACATGCTTTGTAATCAATAAATGTCTGTGTGACTTGTAGTTAGTGTTCTGGTAATTAAATGAGTATTTTTTTCCCCTGTTACCTTCAGGGCAGTGTGTGAAGTCGATCTACACATTCAACGTTGTGACTGCGCTCTGTTTTGTGCCAGAGGAAGACGGCTACATCATCACTGGGTCAGGTGGGTTTTTTTGTGTGGAAAAAAAGGTAGTTAATCACATCATATATTTTTTTTTAATCTTTTCTGTACTCCTGTGCATGTATGTTTTCTAGTATATATGCTTGAATCTCACACTGCAGTCCTCTTCCAGGGAGTTAGTGTGTGTGTGTAGTAGGGCCACCGAGCTAAATCAGAAGGATGGTGGCAAAGAGTATAGGGCAGTCAGGCTCAGGTGTGTCGAACCGTGACCAACAATAATGACTGCCAGCCAGCTGTCAGCTCACGTTAACCTCACACTCTGTCTCTCCCTCAGACGGGGGGAAAGTTCAAGCCTGGAGCTGGCACACTTTCGAGAACTGCCAGTCAATCAACGCTCACCAGGAAGCAGTCACCTCAATCCAGGTGGGTCGGTCACTCTCTATAGCACTGGCCATGTAATATTAGAAGCTCAAGTTGTTTTTTTTATGACAAACTTTGTTAGGGAGGGGATGTTTTGCACAACCCTGGCGACGTTTCTCTCTGAGTAAAATCTCTCTAAAGTGGGTTCGAAACTTTTCTAATAGCTTGTTCTCCGTAAAATCCAAAAGGTATATTTCCTCACTCTTATCCTCACACAGTTTTTTCTTGTTTATTGCCGCAAAACAAATTCTGAGATATTTGTTAAGATGTTGGCTGTGGGGCTCAGCAAATTATAGAGCAAAGTGTACACATTTGGAGCAAAAAGGCTTTTTATGAATATTGAAATCCTGAGCTGCAAATGCACTGCTTTTTTTCAATTTGCAATCATCAAAATATGCCCGAAGCATTAAAGTGCAGCACATCATTGTCATCCTCTTTGTGATTATCATGCAAAGCACACAATCCATTTATAACCAACTGTGGCGCAGAAAAGTACATTTTGAAACAGTTCACACACGTCTCCATTTACAAACACACACACACACATGCACAAGCTGGGTAAAGACTCGTATCACCATGACAACCGTGTATCCCATGCCCTCCACAGTCTCAGGGTCCGCTGGTGTTCAGCGGCTCCACTGAGGGAGGGGTGTCTGTGTGGGAGAACCGCTGTTCGGATCAAGACCCCCTGAGGCTGCTGCATCACTGGAGCAGTGAGGTGACAGGCTGCGGAGGGGGGCCAGGGGGGCGCGTGACCCTCAGCCCGCGGGGCGACCGAGTGCTCCTGGCTCATGGTCGAGCCTGGCTCAAGAACCTGCACTGGAGGAGCGGTGAGCTCTGGAATTAGACTGGCAGTGTGTGTGAGTGTGAGTGTGTGTGTGTGTGAGTGTGTGTGAGTGTGTGTGTGTGTTTGTGGGTGTGGGTGTGTGGGTGTGGGTGTGCGTGTGCGTGTCAGATAGAAAGACTGAAAATTGAAGGCAGATGCAGGAACATTTGCATAATCCTTCCACCTAACATCTGTCCAATTAACACAGGAACCATGTCCAGACTGACCAATCACAGCAGCATCACCGGGGTAACAGATTGTGTTCACCAGACAGGAGGCCTCCTAATTGGCTCCTGCTATGATGTGGCAAATGGAGAGAGCTCGCTGAACAGTGAGTCGCAGAGCAAACCATGTGCAACCACAAGGTCTTCACTCCACTCTGAGTAGTGAAAAGCACTTAAAGAAAACATTTAAACCACTTTGTCTCCCCCTCCCCGCACACCCCCCCCCCCCCAGTCTTCTCTCTGCCTCAGTGTCGGTACCTGGCTTCTCTGACCTGGCCCCATGCTACCAGAGTCCTATGCTTTGCGACGTGGACCACAGGTAGCGGAGACCACCGGTGGGTAACTGGAGGTCGAGACCTCATCGTATGGGAGCAGCTCCCAAGCTCTGGAAAGCAGAGGTGAGATCAAGAAGTGTCAATACTACTCGGTTTAAAAGATTTGAGTCTAAACTACTAAATCATTTTTCTTATTTGCATATTCATCATTTCCTCCAAGGTCACGAGCATTGCTAATTCTTAAACTATACTGGGACTTTCAATATGCCACTGGATTAACATATCTTGACACACACTTTGCCGGTATTAGGTGTTAAATAAAGTTAGGAATGATTGTTTCAGGGGTGATGTCACAGCCAGGAGAGACAGTCGATTGGAGTCCTGCTCGCTGGAGTCCGAGGGGGACACAGAGGATGACGAAGAGACTGATGGTACACACACACACACACACACACACGCTGTAATTTCAGACCTTTTTCATGTCTTCATTTACTGACAAATACTCGATGAGTAACCGTGGAATCGTTGTTAAACTATCATGTTAATTATAGAAGATGTGTGTCGTGACGAATCCTTTCGACCTGCTTGTCAAATTTAGAATACGAAGAAAAAGACAGCGATGAAGGAAGAGACAGTGGGTGTGATGTCACAGAGGACGGAGGGTCTGCCTCATGGCTACGCTGTGTTCTTCAGTGAGAGACAGATTCTCACGCCGAGGACCCAACCGCCTCCAGACAGGAGCAGAAATTGAGAGGGAGGGGTGATGGCGAGGGAGGCGAGTGGAGTGTGACAGTGTCAGAGAGGGAGCATATGGATGGAGAAAGTGTGTGTGTGTGTGTGTGTGTGTGTGTGTGTGTGTGTGTGTGTGTGTGTGTGTGTGTGTGTGTGTGTGTGTGTGTGTGTGTGTGTGTGTGTGTGTGTGTGTGTGTGTGTGTGTGTGTGTGTAAACAGATTTTTTTCTATGTCAATATTATTTCCATACACAATAAAGCTGTCACAGTGTGACTCTGGCCTCCAAATTTGCTTCTCTTGTTGTCTTTTTTTTTTACATCAACCTGACCCTGCTTCTTCTTCAGACACCAGCTCGCCTCTCTCTCTGTGTAAATGAATGTAAATGACATTTTATTCCATCTTTATTCGGCTCCTTCCTTTCTTCCTCCCCCTCCTTTTTCTCTCTGGGGTGTCCTTCCTGTTTTTGTAAACATAATTGAAGAGTTCTTTTTTTATAAGAAAAAACCTCCCGCCTCTAAAATGAGCTTATTAATGTCGTCCTCGGTATCATTTCTGTTTGCATCATCAAATCCATTTCTTTTCCTCTGCGTCCATTTAATTGAAGCGTTAAAAAAACAAAACATAATTAGCATTTAAATCTCTTTCCTACAGTCGCTTGCCTTCCTCACATCGCTCTCTCTCTCCTCTCTTACTCTAGCAGACTCTACATGTCTCCGTTGCCTCGGCAACCAATGCTTTTTTCCTCCCCTCCCTTGCTCTCTGTATCTCCCCCCTTCTCTCTGTCTCCCTCTCTCATTCCCTCTCTTCACTGCCAGAGGTAGGAATGATAACTGATATGTGTCGGAGCGCTTGTGTGTCTCTGTCCGTCTTCGTGTGTGTGTGTCTATGAGTGACATTTCTGTGGCATTCAGGCAGCGCTTGTAGATAGGAAGTTACCTCTCTCTGCTCAAAGTGCCACAGAAAGTGTTGGCTCCGTGCATGACGCCTCTAATGATGATGAATGTTCTGCGCTCAGGTGTGTGATCCTTGAGTGTGTGTGACAGAGCAGAACGGACAATGTGTGTGTACTTTTGTGTGTTCTTGAGTGCAGATGTGGATGAACATGTGGTGCATAATTGAGTGTTACATTTAAAAGCCCAGGGGTGCGTTTGCATGTGTGTGTGTTTTGTAAGTAATGACAGTTCTGCCATGTTTACATGTTTACATGTTTTTATCTGGTAACACTGAAGAAGAAAAAAAGCTGGACCCTCCCCCTTTCTTTCTCTCGCTCTCTCTCTCTCTCTCTTTCTCTTGCCCCTCTGTCCTTCCATACAGAGAGAGATGATCGGAGGAGCGGAGTCTCAGTGAACAGAGCGAAGCGATGGAGAGATGGTAAGATGGAAAGTATCTGAGCTGAAGGATGGATGTATGGGGGAGCAGATGCTTAAAATGTCATTCTGAGTGATAGCGGGCATCATTTTCTGTGCTGATGAGGTCGTGCAGGGTACCTGTAGACAGAAAGACAACTTCCCTGTCACTCCTCCACCTCTCATCCTTTCTTCTCCACTTTTCTTCCAGCTCCATCTCTCCTGTCGCACGACTGACTGCCCTCCGCTGCCTCATCTCCCTCCTCCTTATTGCTCTGGTGACACAGCCCTCCACCTGTAACCGTGACGACAGCGAGGGCGAGGAGGATCAGGTGGACACCCTGTCGGTCCAGCTGTCTGTCACAGCCCAGGTCACACCCACTCCTCTGTGGGCGGTTGTCTGGGGTCCCACGCAACCTCTGGAGGATGAGACCTACCACTTTCTCTCCAGCCAGGAACCTGACCCCCTGCACCCGCACGGGAGCCAGCAGGAGGACAGCTCCGCCATATCTGTGAATTGGCCTTTTCCCAGTTCAAGCATGCAGCCAGGAGAGGAGGCACCGCTCGAGTCTAGAGACCAGGAGGGAGCGGACGATGGAGAAATGGAGGTGGAGCCTGAGGAAGGTGGGCATCAGGATCTGCACATGAAGGATTTGTAAATAAAGGTGTCCACGAGCCAGTCCGTGTGAACACACACACACACAAGCCACAAGTCCTCCAGGGAATGAGCTGTCAGCAGGGTGACGGGGAGCTGTGTGCAGCCGGCTGTGTCTGTGGCGAGGAATGCCTAATAAAGTTCTCATCACTCACAGCAGGAATCGGCTGCTGTCAGATTACAAGATACACAGAAGACGTCATCAGATTAGAGTTAGAGTTGGAGGCCAACGTTCTGAACATTCAATGTCATGTTTCAGCCGGCTTCATTTATTTCTTCTTTTGTTCTGGATACAACGATACATGGTCGTGGTGGGAGAAATAAATAACGGTGTGTGTGTGTGTCTTTGTTACAGTGGACCCTCAGTTTTATGTCACTGTGACCATCTCCTCCCTGCTCATACTGACAGCAGTCATCATAACAGCAAAACTCTGGTAAGAACCCATTCTCTCAATAATTTGTGTGTGTGTGTGTGTGTGTGTGTGTGTGTGTGTGTGTGTGTGTGTGTGTGTGTGTGTGTGTGTGTGTGTGTGTGTGTGTGTGTGTGTGTGTGTGTGTGTGTGTGTGTGTGTGTGTGTGTGTCACATTATATAAAGTAAGCAAGGACTTGTCCTGATTCTCCCAATTTCAGAATGTTGTGGAAAAAGATGCAAAACACATTTTGGTGTCAATTCTTTTTTCAACTGGACACTTTGAGACTTAATCTAATTATTGTTGCTCTTAGAAAACACTTTCTCCTTCTGAATAACATCACACTCAGCTACAGCAGGGATGTGTTTTGGTCAATTATAGTTCTTCTTTTAACAGAGGTTACCAACCTTGGGGTCAGGACCTCCTTTGGGTTTTAGAAGAGAAACCTAATGGTGTACCCAGATAGTAAGCAACATAGCATCAGAATACAATGTTCACTTTGATTTTCAGACAACTTACTATTGGAATTTTTTTACAAGGGACTGATAGAATATGATCAACATGGTTTGAATTCATTGAGTGTCCTGAGGTGTAGAGCGGTCACAACATTTAGAAAAAAGAAAAATGTGCTGGTAATTTCCATTTTTACAGAAAACTTCAGATGTGCCAATTCTTACCAATTAATGTGCCAAGATGTAAATCAGTTTGGCACCAGATGTGTGAGTTTAATGAAGATGCCAGATGTTTGGTCCTCATTAAAGATGAGACCTTTTGCTTTGGCAGATCTGAATGTGAATGTGCATGTTTATGGTTGCATCATTTCTATACGTTCATCCTCCTTTCTAGTTAGAGCTGAGTAATTGCTTACTCATGAATTTCTAACATCATTGTGGGCCTGAAAGTCGTGCAGATGTGTCATTTTGTGCCATTAGACATGCAATTATTAAATATTCCCTGTAACCAATGGGATGTGACAGGATGCAGAAACAAACCTGTTGTCATAGCGATAGAAGAACTTCAGCGGTGTCAATGTTCTTCAACGGCCATCAAAGCTCTGGGAGCATGTAAAGAAGAGGGACGGGGTAAACAAAGGGTGGGTTAAACACAGGGTGGGTTCTGTATGTGTTTAAAGTGAGTACTGCACTCATGGCCATTAGCTGGAAATGGGGAGTCATCTATGTGATGTAGTGGAGCACTGCTACGCTTTGCTGATCAAACCAATAACACCTCGTTTATTTGACCACTGGGACTCCTCTCCTTCTCCTCCTGCTCCCATCACCTTGCTTTTTCTTCTCCTTCTCCCTTTTTTCCCACTAATCTATACTCGCTCTGCCCCCTTTTTTTTTTACTGTAATTCTCTTATCTGATCATCGTACCCACGTTCCTATTATGTTATAATTTTACATTGCATTGCCTGAATCTGTATAATTTGTTCTCCTCCATATTTTTCTCATACTCTCGCTTAATCTCAGATTTGCTCTCACACTCCTACATTATCTCCCCCGCTCTCTCCTTCCCCCTTTTTTAATTGTTCTTTCTCTAAATACCTGTGTTACCCCCCTCTCCCTTCGGGTTATTTCGCTTACTTCCAGTTATCATCATTGCCTCACTCTAACACCGCCTGTCTTTGTACAGCTGGTACTCCTCTTATCTCCTCCGCCAGTCTCCCTATCTTTCCCAGCACTGCCAGTCCGGCTGCAGATCAACAGATAATCCTGCAGCTTGCTTTGAGCTGATACATGATAAACCCCCCCCCCCACTTTTTTTTCTCTCTCTGGCCTGCTCTGTTGTTTCGATAACTTACTTCATCTACACTAGCTATGGATGAAAATCCAAACTCTGCCTTATGCAAGTGGCCTTGCATAAAAGAGTGAGAATTGCCGGGGTTCAGACCGGAGACGTGGCAGCAATCCCCTCTCTATAGACTGGCTCATGCTTCAGTGTCATAAATGTGTAAATAACACCATGTGTTAGATGGAGAAAGTGCTGGGGATTGAGCGGGGGGGGGAGGCTACAGATGGACTGAAATGATAGCCTATAGTGGAAATTGGCGACTGTCCAGTTCATTATGATTATAGAAGCGCAGCATATGTGCTCAGTGATTTTCCCAGACCTAAAAACGTCAGTGTGGCTAATTTTCCAAGCATTTTTGAGTGTAAAAGTGTGTTTACGGAGGGGTGTGTGGAGTCAGACAGGTGTTGCTGAGGGAAAATGAGGGTGCAGGATGGCTTTTATGGCAGCGAGAACACCTCTGCTGGATGTCTAAGTATCCTTAAGAGCCTGAACCTGTGACTCCCAGCTGTGTCTTCCTTAACTCACTCTCCTCACCACTATTTCCTCGCCTTGTTGCATCCTGCCTACCTCACCCCATCAGACTCCTTCCCTCCTCTCCCTCTTCTCTCCCCCACAGTGCCTGTCTCCTCTACCCATTCCTCGCTCTGCCTCCCTCTCCCCCCTGACAGCGTTTTAATGAGTCCAATGAGTGCTCTAATTCTCTCTCACAGTGGCAGTGTAATGTGTTCGCTGATGCTAAATGGCTCGCCTGTTCTTGATGCTCTCTGACTTTGTTTCTCCGTCTCTCCCCTCCTTTTTTTCCCCTCCTTTTTTCCTTATCTGCTCCTCTTAATTTCAACCTCCTTCCTCAATCACTTCCTGCTCTTTATAACCTTCTTTTACTTATCCGTCTCTCTGAAACTCCAACTTTCTTTGTGTCCTTTAATCTCTGTTTCTATTCCTGTCCCACTTCCTCTTGGTCTCTTTTTAACATCCTTTTTTATTTTTTTCTGTCCTTCCACCAATCTTTTTTTTCTCTCCCTCTCTTCCACTCCTCCATCCCTTATCAACCTCTCTCCATCCTCATCTCTTCTATCCCCAATCTTGTTTCCCCCAATTTCTTGCCTCTCTCCATCCCCTCTCCTCCTCTGTCTTTCTCTTCCTCTTTTTGTGCCACCATCCTTCTCTCCAAGTTATGATCGCAGCTGTTCCCAGCATCCGCCCCCGCTTTCCCGTGGCGTGGCTCCCCCCCTCTCCCTTGCGCTCCCTCGCTCCCTGGGTTCGGAGGACAGCCGGCAGACGCTACACAGCACCTCCTCCTCCTTCACCGACAGGGAGAGGTAATGAGTCGCCTCGGCAGCTCGGCACAGTCTGGGTATATATGATTCTAATGTGTGTGTAGCTCTGGATAAAAGTTTGCTTCTTAGTGTGTGTGTGTAAAACAGCCCTTTTTTTTTTTACCTTTAGTGTGCATGAACATGTAGAATAATTGGACGGTAGTGCTATTCTCCAAGGAGTGCTCAGGGCTGGAGTGTTGCTGTAAGAAGTCTCTGTGTTTTAAACTCCCTCTCCAGATGAGTCATCATGGGCCCAGCCACCGTCCATGTAATCATGCTTTTATTTAAGGGTATTCAAAGTTAATCTCAGTCAGGGAACTAACACTTCTCCCTCTCGCTTCCGTCCTTCCTTCTCCCCCATCAGCTTTTCCTTTCACCCTTTTCCTCCTTCTCTTCTGTCTCTTCCCTCTGCCGCCCTCTCGGTCCCCTGTGGTGCAGCTTTCCGTTTGCGTCTACACCACTTTTTCAGCTTCGGGCCTCTCGGTTCGGCTCGCCTTGTCTTCTGTTTTTTTTTTTTTTTTTTTTTTCCTACCAGTACCAGGGCTCCCCAAGCTTCCCACAACAATCTTCTTCTTCTTTTATTTCCCCCCCTATATTCCTTCTCACTCTCACTCTTCTTCTCTTGTGTCTCTTGCTGTGTCAGGATCCCAGTAGTGAACCTCTGAGGTGACTGTTTTTCCATATGGTAAACATTTCTACAAGGCCTGAGGAGGAACATCAACACGAACCAGAGGGTGTGCCCGCAGCGTCGTTTTATTTTCTCTGAAACTGTGAAATGAATTCAGGGATCCCAGGTATCCAGCCATCACAAAACTCCTTGGCTCCCCTGAGGTCTTAAAATCATCTCCCTGCTGCTCCCTCCCTGGTTCCTTCCTTCCTCCCTTCCTCTATGCTCTGTGCTAATTTCTTTTATGTGGCTCTGCATCACTGTAACCTGCTCCTTGTTTTCCATCCCCTGTATGGCCCCAAGCTCTGCCAAAATACCCAACCGCTCTGTGTTTCGACCTGCCTTGACTAATTGACAAACAGGCAGTTTAACAGCCATGCAGAATCTCATTACCCATGAAATGCCCTACCTGTGCTTCCACAACTGTTTCCAATAACTCAGTATTAGCTCTAATGCAGCCGACTGTTCTTTCACTCATTTTCAGTTCAGTGTAGCAGCCTCGTATCTGGCGGGTATAGTGTTAAAAAGCCTTTCACAGCATCTCCAAACACTGAACGGGGTATTTCACAAAGCTCATTGGCACAGCTCTGGCCAACAGGCAATGTGTTTAACATGTCACGCTCCAAAAACTGCTGTTTATCCCCCCGCTTTGGGCGCTTGAAATGCAAATAGTGTGGATTTTTCCCTCTGCAGAGTGTGCAGGAGTCTGTTTTGTTTAGTTTTTTTTTTTCCCTCATGATTTGTTCTCTTAATTATGTGGCTGACGTTCACCCCTTTGTGGAGCACCCTTTGTTCCTGCTGGACTGTGTAGAGGTGTGTTAGGCATAGAGAACCTCCACTGGTGGAGATTTAAAAAAAAAAAAAAAAAAAAAAAAAACATAAAGCAAAAGGGGGTTGGATGGAAGAGACATTCCTGTTGAAAATCAATGTTTCCCAAAGGTTTCGGATTGCACACAACAAAGACAGATTTATTTCGTCATGGAAATGAGCATCTGTGAACTGTACGCGAGATCAAAGGACTGACAAGTACCACAAAAAGGATTTTATTTTCAGTGGACAGCCTAGAATCTTAACTTGGAAAACAAAACCACAAAAATCTTGCTTCATATCAGCATCAAAAAACTACATATCCAAAGGAAAGAAGTACATCAAGGAGCATCTTCTCTGCCTCTCTGAATCTGCATGTATATAGTAAGAAAACTTGTAAGAGTCGCTTCAAATCTATAATTTATAAATGTCTATTTTATCTATCAGTGAATTAAATCTTAAAGAATCTTCTGAAGCCAAATGTCAGGTTGCATTTTGCAACTTTTCGGAGCATCTTTGAGACATGAATCCCCTCCAGTTACACACATTTCCACTACAGACATAGTGCTGGTGGCTTCATGCGTGGCTCGTGTAAAAACCTACAGATATAAAGTCTTGTGATTTTTAGTAGCATTTCTGTATAAATGTGGTCTTTCTGTACCATGGAAGTTCAATAAAGACTGGCGTTTTAGCTCTGTGTCTGTTTATTTCTGTGCATATTGAATGAATTCCCCTGGGAGCGGTACGTTCTGCAATGCTTTATGGGATTGACAAAGCCTACACTGTGCATTTTAATAGCTACCCCTGTATCCTAATCTTTTTTCTCCTTGAAGTGAACATTTAGTCCTCTGCCTTGCATTGATTCTGAACCATAAGCTTGGCATTAAATAGCCCAGCATGTGCCAATCATGTCTTTAACATCGAGCAGCAGCTGAGAAAAGGAAGAATAAGGCGGCTGTGTGTGTGTGAAGCTTTCCCTTATCTCCTCACCTCATATGGATTCCCCTTGCTTCAGTAAGATTAACAGAATGCTAAGCAAGAATTTCCTCTGTGTACGCTTTTTCAAACAAATGTCAATAAAATCAAGGTGGCCACGAGTTGAGAAATGCCACCTGATTGTATTGAGATCCTCCCCTCAGTCTGCTGCACACACACCGTTTCCATCTCCTCTGGCTCTTCACTGATCAATCAAAGTAATTGATTGGCTTCATTCCACTCTGAAGTTTTAATGATCCTGGAGTTATGAGACACATAGCGGCAGACACTGCAGCAATCTGCAAACACGCTTGATAAACACCAAAGCAGAAGTTAGGTGTAAACGTGCGTATGCATAGTCATCGCTCACATGCTCACACGTTTAATGAACACACAGGGCTCACCTGCCACTTTCTCTCTAACCCTCACGACACTCAGAGGTGTACAGCTGTTAGAATTCACAGCTCTCGCCTGATAAAAACTCAACCAATACGGTTCATTTACAGAGTGAAATTAACACCCCTAATAATAGAGGTGGGAGTGATGTAGGAGGGAGGAGATGACGGAGACAGGAAGGGTTAAAAAAAAAATGAAACAGGATCATAATTTCCATGTCTTTCTCCCTCTCGCTGCAGTTGCTGGTCATTTAATTGCCACTATTAATGTCATGCACGATGGAAAGCATTGAATTAAGTGAAAACAGAGTCAAAAAGACAAGAGAGAGAGAGATGGGGAGGGATGGATGATGAAGGTAATTTTGACAGCGTGATAGTGGTACTGGAGAGGCTGGCCCGGCCATTTCAACGGCATAGTTTGACATTGAAATAGAAGCTGTGGGCAAAAAAGCTTGTATGAAATATGAATGCGCATGGCATGTGTATCTGTGTGTGAATGTATCCATGCTGGTTGCGCACAGGGGAAGCCTCAGCTCTATAATACATTAGTCTCTTTGGGAGATGCCCTAATTAATGGCTTGACCTCCTAACGGGTAGCCCCCTTCTGCGAGTTAACATTTAGCTGTGCACCCTCCAGAGATGCACTTTGAAGAGCATTTAATAAAAGAAGTGACAGTGACATTAATGAGCCAGTCAGGAGAAGTACAGGGCTTCCTTTTATTTCCCGACAATTTATATTCTGTTTTTTTTTTTTTTTACATGTCTCAACTCAGCAGAGAGAAAAAATACAAAGAAACATTAATCTAAAGCAAAAGAACAGTTTTAAACCAATAGATACACACATCTGCGTCAAATACACCGATCCTGTTTCTGGTCAAAGGCAACCGACTCCTGCTGCAGACTGTTTGATCTTGATGTGATAGAAGTGGTGTGTGCGTGTGTGTGTGTGTGTGTGTGTGTGTGTGTGTCTACACTTGTGGTCTGCCTGATAGGTTATTAAGAACTACAAGAGTGGATGTAACACCTGTGTGTGTTTCTGAATCGGTCCAGGTGAGATTTGGTGAGAAAAAAACAGTTCCCATTAAGCTTCCTGGTTTTATTGTGAAGAGAATGTGTGTGTGCTTTTGTGTGTGTGAGACAAAGGTGTCCTTGAACATTGGTCACATTGTTTAATGTATCCGTTTGTCCGTCAATGTGTTCATGTGTCCAATAATCTGCCAGAGTGTCCATCAGTGCCGCTGTCCACATCTCACTCTCCTTTTTCTTTAGTTGGACTTGGACCAGATCTTTCCACTGCCACGCAGCCTGAGCAGGAAACAACCAGGAACAAACACATCATCAGTGCTTCTAGAACAACAGTAACACATTATTTACAATCAGTATTTATGTCGGCATTGAAATTGGTCAGGGTGAATTTTGTATTTGTATTTTGAAAAGAAGCCATTTCTAATAATAGCTGCTGCACTACCAGTTCCTTTAAATAGCTTTACGAAGAAGAAATGGTGTCAAAACGCCTTTAATTTGAGGAATGAGGTTAAGCTGTCATTAATTTGGATTCCAAAACATTAAGTGGATCTACATTTGAATGAAGAGCGGTGCTGAGTGATGAAAATTATAGGTCTCTACGCTTCATCAACATGCGAGAGGCAGACAAAAAATAATGACAGCTTTCCGTTCAGCTACAACAACATAAACAGACGACGAGCAAAGCATCTCGCCTGATCACTGGAGGGAGAGACATTTCTTTCAGGAGGAGGGGACCAAGCGGGCATTGGAATATAGCTGGTGACATTCTACTTTCTAGAGGCAGAAGTGAAATTAGCCGTTGGTAATCTGGCTGTATGGAGGCAGAACAGGCCCTGATAGCAGGGTTTGGAAATCGCTGCGAAACATAGACGTGAACCCGATAATAAAGCCACTTCATGCAAACACTCACATACAGATCCACCAATTACACCGGCAGCTGGCTGCATATGTTAATGAAAAAATGCATTTCAGTGTTAAATTAACACAGTTCTCGACAAGAACCCTGGACTAATGTCTTTTATTTTGTGTTTGATGTGGAGTCTTTTTAGAGCCGTGGTTATAACTAGGCAAATTCAGATTTATAAAGCACCTTTCAAAGACCACGAGTGCTATGCATCACAAAAAGAAAGAGCAGTAATGAAAGAAACCTAATGGAAAAAGACCTTCGGCATGCAGCTTTTTGTTCCAATTTTGTGACAGGCAGTCACAACATTTTCTTGTTTCTTGGTTTAAAAACCTCAACGTCAACTACATTTAAAAGTGCAGCGACAAATCTGAATTTAAAAAAACAAACCTTCAGTGATTATTCTACATGGCCAAACATATTTTATGTGTTCATTTCTGAAATGTTTGGCCAAGCTTAAGAAAAACGGAGGCAATTTCTATGCAAACTCGGAGTGGTTTGTCCGTATTAAACAGTATATGAAGAGTTGTTCAGAGAGCATAACTCATACAGAACATATATTTCACTGCCTTGGTGTGAAGAACCAAGCACTCAAGCAGAAAAATAATGTAAAGGTGATGTCACCGTACTTACCCTTTCACCTTTGAACTTTTTTTGCCTGGTTGTCGTGGTTCCTGAGAAGAGGCGGGGTCTCTGGGTTCTGCAGGCTGGTCTGCGTCCTGATTGGAGGCAGCTCCAGCAGGGGCGGGGCCTGACGACGGAGAGGCGGCGCTGGCCTTTAACGTTTTCTGTAGGTTTGAGACCTGAGGGAAAAAAGAGAAGAGATTAAAAAATTAAAGATTAAAGGAGGCGAGATGTGTGTTAAAGGATTCACAATCTTTCAAGTCTGTCCTCAGACAAAAAGTCAGAGTTCCCGTTTAAACATTTAAACAGATTTCTGTGCTGTAATTGTTCCTACTGGGCATTCTCTCACCCCTTAATTCTGCTTCTAATCTAAGTGATGGGGGGACAAAAACCCACAGTCCCTAGTAGTCTTTGTAAAATCATTCTTAATGTGCTAATGGGACGTGTCAGCAGTCTGATTCAGTCACAAAGTGAGTGTCAGTTATTTTAGTATAATGTCCTTGTTTGTGTCTCACAGAGAGGCAGTGTTTTTCTGCTGAAGAGTGGAAGCTCGCCGGTTTCTTTGGACACAAACATGACTGTAAACGTTTCCTTTACCAGCTGAATGGTATGAACAGAACATATGGAAGTGACTTTTATCTATGACCAAGGTGAAATCTTTCTTTAAGGTTATATGCATGACTGAATACCCTAATGAAGACTTTACCCTTATAGACAACACATAGACATGTGAAGTCAGTGCAAAACTAAAATATCACATATAGCTGAGAGCATTAAGAAACAGAGATGTGGAGGAGCGAAGAGTAACATTTACTGTATTTCCTTGGGGGGAAAGAGTGAGAGAACTGCAGGCAGAAGTGGTGATGGACTGACCTCTGTTTCCACTTGGACTTTGACTTTTAACTGGCTCTCTCTGTACTGGTTTGCCCTCGAGACCTGCTCCTCAATCCCACACAGAACTGCCTCACAGCCTGTACACCTGAGACAGAAAAAGCGGATCGTGAGTAACAGATAATTGAGCCATAAATCTAAAGTGTGCACGCAGACACACAGAAGTGATGCAGACCATTCCTGAAGTGTGTTGACTATGTTTGGGAGCTCGTTGGGGCCAAGGTCACGACCCACACTGCAGTCCACCTCCACCTGCTGGTTCCTCTGGTCCAGTTTTCCCTGGATGATATCGCAGTAAACGGCGTCGATCAGCAGGTCCTCCAGCTTCCCGCACATTCTTCAGCTCGAGCTGCTGTAGGAGCAGTGAGTATGGCAGGCACTGAGAGGGAAAAGAGACAAGGAGACTTTAACCCTAATATTCTTTCTCCCTTTTTTATACAGCGTATACAAGCGGATAATTTAAGTCACTTTAACAGCTTGATGGAAAATGACAACAAATGTTTCTGTGAAATTGCCCATTTGTCCAAATGTCACTGACAAACAAGGATGAGAGGAGAGTTTGGACAATTTAACAATCCTCTACTGGGCAATTAGAGAGTTCAAGCCTCTATGGGAGGAAAGCAGTGACATATTAAAGAGAAAAACAGAGAGCATGAGAGAAAGGAGCAATGGTAAGGGAAAGTGAGATTAAGTGTTTAAAAAAAAAGAACAGGGCTGGTGAGAATAATGAATCAATTATTTATCAGCAGCAGGGAAAGAAAAAGGCATAAGCAGTATGGTTGGAAGGTGCAAATGAGAGATGACTTTTAAACGAACATTTAATACTTTATCACGCACATGGAGGGGAGGGAGGGGTAGACGTCTCTAATCAGCGGTTGTAGCTGCGCTGGTGACTTTGTCTGGAGAAACTTGGGATTGAAGGGCTTGTCTGATGTGTGGTTTTAATTAAATTGATGTAAAAAAAAAAACAGCCACAAGCTTAAATCACAGCCAACCTTAAATGAACTTTAAGAAAATTGTATCAGTACAAAATAGCAGAGCCATATTCAAAGGGCGTGTTGTTGATACTTTATCAATCTCTTACTTAATGAAGCCTACAGCGTTACGTCACTATACAGATGTGGTCTTTCTTTTTGTTAGCTGGAATAATTCAAACAATTCTGAAGGGCCCATTATAACCTGAAGTGTGCTCAGGTGGACAAACTTCTTCATGACACTTTCTGAGTTAGGCTCCAATCCAACCGCAATCTGTTTTCTGCATCAAATGTTCTCAAAACTGTACAAATATGAATGGGAGAGGCCAATACCAGCCGAATGATATATTGGTCAAGCTCTAAATATAAAGCCTGCCAATATTAGATTTTTTTTACTCAATCCTGAGATGGATGCAACATTATTGCCCAAGCACTGTTCTGTAAAGTGTAAAAAGATAAGAGTGAAGTACCTTGAGGTTAGATGCCAGGCTGATGATGGACAGATGGCGCAGTTTGTTTCTTTGTGCGGGGGTCAACTCTGGAAGAGAGGCGGCTCTCTCTAACGCAGCAGACAAGAACAAGAAAAGAAAAGAAAAAAGTGACACGTTGAAAATAATATAGCAGAGCGGTGTGCAAGTGTCACTTTGCTAAGGGTCAAACAGTCACACATTATTGAAGCACTACTTATTACTTTGAAATGTGATGCTATACAGAGACACGTAGGTGAGTGTGGAGCTGTTTAAGCAGTCAGAGAACAGAGTTAGGAGGAGGTCGCTCTCCAGCGACTGTCTCCTGCTGCCATGCTCCCCTGGTGATGGGACTGAGACCCTCTGAGACAGCAGCTCTGACAGCTCCTCTAAGGGCTCCACTACACAGCTCTCTGAAAGGAAATGTGCTCCCTGTTGGCATGACTCCAAAGGGAAGGCAACAATAAAGTAGGCTAGATTCTTTTTCCAGGCTATTGGTTGATATTCTGCATAAAATTAGACATAATTAACATTCCACTTCTTGTTGAAGCTTCCTGGTGCATAACACAGACAGCAAATGAAGTCACAGAAGATTCGTTTATCCGTCTGTGGCAGCACTGCTGCAGCACAATCAGCTGCAAATAAGAACACTCAATGAGAAGATGGCCAAAAAGCTCAAATCAGTCATTTTGTTCTGTAAATAACCTGCCAGCAGTATTTCAGAGATTTAGGCCGCTGTGTCAAGGTGCCTGCCTCACAGAAAATAAGTACAGCTCACAATAAAAGAGTTGCTGGGCTGCCCTATTACTTATTTACACTGTGCTGTCACTGCAATACCTTTGTAGTCGCAGTAGGTTCCATAGGCAAAGAGGTTGAGGAGCTGGTACACAGGTGCGTGTGGGCCGTTCTCCAGCTGAGAGGTGCAGATGAGGTCAGAGAAAAAACAAACAAGTAATGAGACTCCTATATACAAAAAAATGTACAACTGCATTGTATCTGTTATTTGAGGTTCAATTGAGGCTTGGTGAGATAAGTAGAGAAGATCACATTAAGAGAGAGCGGCAACATTCATTTTTTTTGATCATTGACGTTTAATTGCTAACTACTGATAATAAAGTGGTAATAAAAAGAAATAGTTTCAGACATTTTCAATATAAAAACTTTGATGTAAAATGTTCAACATTTGAAATGTAACAATGTGCCTCTTGGCTTTGTCATTTATGAGAGTAAATCTTTGGTTTTGGACAGTTTGTTGGACAAGAGAAGCAACTTCAGGATGCACTGTTGACTCTTCATTGACTAAGAATTGATCCTGAAAATATTTGGTATCTTTATCTATCTATTTATCCATCTATATAAATGAATCACTACCACTGTGTTTCCTTATGGCTGACTTGAATTCATCAGCTCATTTCTGAATGGTTGTGAGATGTTAAAAAAGCATAGTAACTTTTCCCACCATGGATTCTTACTCTCTTCCAAACTGCTTTTTCTGTTACCTTGGAGAACAGCTACTAAGTTCAGCAGACATTACCACAAGCAGGTGCAAAATGTTGCATCAACGCAGTTTTTCCATTAAGACGTAAATGAGGCCAACAGCATTTTCTTTTTCTATAAATACTGTGCAGATATGATTTGAGTGTGAGATGTCGTGAAAGCAACGAGCAAGGAAAGTGTTCTCTGCTGTTGAACCAAAAAAAATCTTGTTTGACAAGAAAACACTTGAAATAGCGAGCATTTATTCATCCCCTGAGAGGGAGGCTGTATGTGAGGATTTTTCTTAAAAGTCCATGTTCTGAGAGATTTTTGACAAAACTACACTGCTCCAAAAAACACCAGGGAACACTTAACTGACACATCACATCCTGATGTTTGAATTATTCAAGTTGAAAATCTTCACATCGTATAATTTGTTGAGAACACAACAACATAACAACGGTCAATGGAAACAGAAATCATCAGCCCATGCAAGGCTGGATTCAAAGACACACCAGAAATCCCTGGATATCATGCTCTTGAAACTGTGCTTAGAGACACAACAAACCTTTTTGAGCTGCAAGTATGGATGTGACTTACTGGAGGAGCTGGACTACCTGTGTGCAACCTGTCAGGGCTGCAGGTACCGCCTCAAGATACCAGAAGTGACAAGGACACTAGCAGTACGCCAGAACAAGTACAGAGGAATCAGTCAGGAAGGATAAGGAGAGAGCACTTGTCTGTGATCACCCCATGCCAAACCTTTCTATTTTGGGGGTTGTCTTGCTTTTGTCTCTCCATTGCACCTGTTGTCACTTTAATTTGCACCAAAGCAGGTGAAATTGTTTCACAATCACTTGTTCTTCCTAAATGGACAGATTAATATCCCTTAAGGTTTTACTGACTTGGTGTTATAACGTGACAATTCCTTCAATTTTTTTGTGATTGTATAAACTTCTCTCAATAGACTGTTGCTGTAAAGTGAAAATTATATTACAACAGGCCTTCTCAGCAAGTATAACTGACTGTTTCATTCGAATTCAGCTGGAGTGGACCTGCTTTGAGCCATTAAATTAGTAAATAATAAACCAATATGCGCTGAGGGAAACCTTTCCATTATAAGATTTTTATTATCCTTATAGGTAATATTGCACTAATTGCTCTTTTTTTAAAGGTGACTTGTAATACTTCTTCTCAATGTGCTGTAATATTCTGTACTGAGGTCACTCAGTCTGATACATCTCTGTCAATGTTTCTCTGTTTGTCTCTTTCCACCAGTGTTTTTCTTAAAAAAAAAAGAAAGAAAAAAGAACTGGAAGTCTCACACTTGCTACTTTTCCCAGAAGTTAAATTTCAGATGCAATATCTTCTACATGTATTCCTCACGATTGTCTACCGTTTTACCTTTACAAAACCTTGGTGCTGTCTTTAAAGTGAATAAAGACAAATTTAACTTATGCGTAAAAGCTGCACAGATCTTTAATAATGTCCACTGTGGTTGAGCTTTTTCTGAATCCTTCACGACTCTAACAGCAGCGTTTCACTTCTAAAATGCGGTGTTAACCGCTCAATCTCATTTAAGCTTAGCGTATAACTATCGTAATTGGCTGGTGATGTACTTTCAGAAAAAGATAGCAGCATCACACAAGAGTTCTATACGCCGCAGTGTCGACTGGATGTGTTACTTTAATGACTTCATTGGTGCAGAAATGTGTATATATTAATTGCCACTTGTCTTGCACACATAATGAAAGTGTCCCAAAGTGGCTTATGGATACCCTAGGTTGATGGTTGATAGTCAGATTCTCCATGTGTCTTTGATATATAAAAATCTGTGACATGAACTGTCAAAGCAGGGATTCAGACGGTTTTTGTCATGGCAGGTTTGTAAAAAAAAAGGTCTCAACAGACACAAAGGTTGAGGAAGACAAAGTGGGAGAGCATGTGTTTACCTCTCTGACATTTGGTAGCTCCAGGATGTCGGAGAAGACATAGAGTCCTGGGGTCTCCAGTAGAGAGCTGACAGCCTGGGCCAGCGCTGGGCCTGACAGAGACAGGAGCTGCTCCACCTCCATCTGATGCCAGGGGACAGAGGTGACAGGGACACGGAAAGCAGGTTAGACATAAGTACTACAGAGACTCATGAGAGCAGCAGAGCAATGTAGAGAGTTCAAGTACCCCAAAAAATCAAGGAAGTAATACATCTTTGTTACTGCCTTGGCTCTGCCTCTTAATTAAGGTGATGGAAAATACTGTTTAGGGACAGTGTTGCACTGTCGTCAATAAATACTCCATTGTTAATACCAAAGCTCAATGGATGAAGAATCTACAGCAGGATGTTTTATCTTGCCCCTCAAAACATAGTCCAGCCACTTGTAGTTTGTTGAAAGCACATAGAACTTAAGTTACAATATGTCCTTTTTATTTAACTTCCAACAGCCAAGTACTCTTGACCAAAGCAGTTAACCCTCAAATTACCTGGAGAGCCACTCAGATAGTGGACAAGCAGCTGCTATCTGTAGAACCAACACAAGCAACAAGTGTGATGAATACTAAGCAGACATATTTATCCATCAAAAACCCTTTCCCCACATGGAAACATGATGCTAATGCACCGGGGGCTGAAGGCAATGACAGAATAATTACCTTCGGTAAGTAGTGACGGTAAAATGCCTATGCTAGCCTTTGTGCTGACATTAAGTCTGCACACAGTGAAACCCAAAGAACAAAAGAGAAAAACCACTTCCTGATGCTAAATCTCTGTCACTGTTCCTGTACTTTGGTCTGACTAGAGCTTTGTAAATCACAAGCTCCATAGTCAAAATGAGCTTAGTAGAAAAATATTTCAGAAAGGATGTCGGTCTGATTCTTGTTGTGTTTCTCCCAATTCAAAAGAGCCAAACTGTATAAAACAGTGTGAGGAGGAGGTTTCCTCTTGATTTGATGTGAAATTGTTAAAATCCTAATCCCAGAAGACACAATCCAGGACACAAGGGAAGTGTAGTTCTACAGAAACCGATAATCAGTAGCATCAGACCATTTCTATTATCTAAGGCTGTTTTCTTATAATGTATGCAACTGAGAGTGTGCTGAGGTAAGACTAGTCTGACTGGTTCAGTAAGTGAGTGCTTACTGCACTGATGTCTTCTATAATCCTTTAACTGATACATTAAGATTCACTCATGCACATCTTCCATATGTTGTCCCACTGGACAACAATCAAGGAGGTGTAAAGATCATCTTCTCTGGCAAGCTGAACAGATGAGCAGGCATGTGTTGCAGCCAAACAAATTAACTTACTCTGTTTAAGAAGAGTAACTCTTTTAAATTCAGAAACCTGTTAAAATCTAATTACGTAGTACATGTCAGGCTGGATTGGATCCATCTATGTTCTTAAACTGATTTAATAAGGAGAATGAACTGCCTGCAAATCGATGACAGATTGCGAGAGGAATTGGAGAGGCTGCAAAGTATGCAGGATGCAGATGTTCAGCTACATGGTACCCCTAAGAACAGGGAAATTAAAATACATTTCTTAAATAAATCTGAAATAATAACTCAAGGGATCCCAGAATGCAAATGGACACATTAACTTGTGCAGTTATGACTTCAAGATAATGACTGGCAACATTATTGGTGCTTTACCTTCGTCTTATTTCATTAAGCCTATCATTGTTGTATGATGTGTACCAAGCCAACATAATGCAAAGTACATTTTTTTTTTTTTTTTGTTATCAAACATCAAGCCTCTGTTCTTTTTTGTATTGTATCCACAATATATTAATTTGTATTATTATTCTTGTTGTAGTGGCTTTTCATTTGTACAGTTTCATGGAACCAAAGATTGAAAACAGCGTTAGAGAAGCAAACAGAATCAAACACTTCATAAAATAATAAAAACCTTCAAGGCTTCGACAAGAAAGATAACAAAACAACTTGAAATTGGATTTGGCAGCTGTAAACTTCCAAAGTCTGTTGTACATAATTCCCCAAATTTACTGGAGCAGAACTCACTTCAAAAAACTCTCAACTCTAATGAGTTTATCTTTCTTTCCTATAACTCCACCAGCCAAGATGTCCCTTCTGAGCCACTTCTGAAAGGAGCTATTTTACTGAAATTAAGTGCGACTTGGTGAATTAATTGAATGTTTAATTTAGCAATGTTTTGATCCATATTTGGAAATATAATATATGATATAAGCAATTTAACATGAAATGATCAGACCTAGCATATTTGAGCCAATCCTCTTCTTACATCAGAAGCACCATCACTTAGTGTCAACGTCACATATTTTAAAACTACAAATTGAAACAGGCTGTTACAGAAAACAGAATTTTCCATCAAACGTGCTCATATAAGCTACTTAAAGAAAATCAAATGGTAAAACTATGTGTAAAGGGATTAACTGAATGTGGGCAGTGGTGATAAGAATTATGCAATGTCCCTGTTGACAGCTGCAGAGTCACTTTTTAAAGATATAACAGTTTTAAAATGTATGGGAGCAGAGCAAAATCTATTAGAAATGTTCAATGTTATCTCTTATTATATGACATGACATTAATAGCTGTATAAAACAAGATGTGTGTGTAGTGTAATCAATAAAAATCAACATAAGAAAACATTTTGAGAAATCATTGATTTACTGCACGATTAAAAATTGTTATGTCTTCAATAATAAAATATAATAAGCTCCCACCCTCTGGAACTCTCTCCCTAAAAACATCATAGACTCACTTCCTACAAGAAATCCCTAAAAACTCACCTTTTCATCACCGCCTACAACCACTGACTCTCATCCTCTTCCCTTGACACTATTTCTATGTTGTATTGTTCTCTTAGTTATTGCTTTGGTTTTTTTTTTTTGCTTCCTGTCAAATCATCTTTGAGTGTTTAGAAAAGCGCTATATAAATCTAATTTATTATTATTATTATTAAGTTATCTTTAAACTATCTTTTAACTTGTTTGACTAATAGTTGAGTCCATACAAAAGTCAGTCAGAAAACAATTTAAACATAACATCCCTGTTTTCAAAAGGTATATTTTGATATATTCTACTTGTTTATTAAGTCTATAAAAAATTAAAAACATGAATTATTAGACTACTTTTTATTCCATAAAGCAGAGAAATGCAGAAACCTTTTGTTTAGCCTGTGACGTCAGATGTAAATACTAAATTGGAAACATTTTCAGTAACATATTATAACATAAGATGTTCCACATTGCCCCTGTGAAGGATGATTGCGACATTAGCGGCTTCATGTCACAAACATGAACAAGTAGTACCGTCACACAGGTCCTGTGATTTCAGATTTATTCAACATAAACACTGTTTGGTGACATTTCGCTACTAAACTAATCTCAGCCGGCCAACATTAAAGCTCAGTGACTGTCACCAGAGAGTCGTGTAAAATTGCAAGTAAAGTGCTTAAACGTCTACCGCTGCAGCTTTCTCTGGCTGAAATGTTCACATTATTATAAATATTAAAAAGTATTCAAGCTCAGTGTGTCATGCTAGCTCGGTTGCTAACGGCTACGTAACCGTAAGGCTTCGCTTAGCCGTTGTCACTAGGCCTCCGATAATTTAAAGCCTTTCTTCGAACAAAGATAATTCAACTACAGTGTCATTTTAACCGGGAAACAAGATGCATCCTTGAAAGTTTTAACTTCAGTGTTAAATGAGTCTGTGCGTACATAGATTTACCTTGTTATGTAGGTTTCTAGCAGATAGCCTCTCTCACGATTGTTCAGTTCCGCCGTCAGCTCACGTACGACAACAAAGCAACGTAATCCGTGATTGGACAGTACAGTGAAATGGGCGGGACTATAGAGTAGCTGTCTATCATCATCTCTGTCGATGGACCAGAGAGAAGAGCGTCATCTGGCGGTGATCTGGTTAACACGAATGAGACCTGTAGGCCTGATGTGAATCAGCAGTGATAACCTGGAGGTTATAGGGCCAAGTAGATCTTGCGGGTTCGGGTTAGCACAGCTTCTTTTCTCAGTTTTACAAGTACATTTACTCAATAATCGTGAAGTAGCTGGAAATGTGTTGTCCTTTTACTTTATTCTGTGTGCCAAAGACTACTCCATATGTTAAATATCTTATCTTAATTGTTTTCAATTTTGTACTTTTTAATAATAATCTAAAGGATTGATTGTTACAGACTCAATAAATCCCCCCCCACACACACAAAAAAAGGATGTTAATCTGATACATGTTGGACATATATTTGATAGTTTATAAATTTGTAAATATGACCTTAAAACCCACACATATTAGAATGTAACATACAATATAGTATAGCCTTGCTCAATGATACCTGGTCTGGCACTTCTCAACCTACCAGATTAACAGCTTTGGTCCGCACCTGGACTTGACGACCGGCGACCGACGACCGGCGACCGGCGACCGGCTACCCTCAGGTTCCCAACTCAACTCCTTACAGACTGAACTACTGCTGAGATCAGTAGCAAGGACACCATTTTTAAGAGATTTATAAATAAATATAAAATTAAAGATGCTTATATTCAAATGAGCAATTTGGGTGAAATAAGCGAAAACTTAATTTCATAATAGGCAAGTTAATTTTTAAAAGGACACTATAAACAGACATTGTCTCCTGGGGTCATTGTTGATCAGAGTCAATACCAAACTAAGCTAACCGTTTTCCAGTTTTACAGCATTTTCTGTGAATATTCAGGCGAGATAAAGGGTATATCTCTACATGGAGTGTCAAATCATGTCTTTGAGAGGCTGTTTGAATGGCCCAGTCCTCTACATGTTGCCCTCCTGACTGTTGGTTATCTGCCTTTGAGCTCCACTGATCCCAATATCTGTGACAGAGAGAGAGAGGAGGCGGATAGATAGGGAGCGCTATAAATAACAAGTGTGGACTTTTCTGAAAAATGTGGAAAACAGGCTCACCTGGCCCAAGCCTTTGATTTATTGATACGACTTCTGCACCCTGATTCATCTGAAGCTTTGGTACATTGCTGTATGTCTTCTGCAAATAAATGTAATATTTCCTTTGACGTTGCACATTATTCAGTTGAAGGATTTTCAGTCCAGTTATTATACTTTGACAGTTTAGATTCTTTCTGGACAGGTTATTTAGTAACATAAAATTTTTAAATGAATGCAGGAAAGTCCCATAAATAAACAAATTAAGTAATTCAGTGCATTTAACATTAAAATTAGATGGTTGTCTTGTCCACCAATCTCCGGTCTGCTTCTCTACATGTCAGATTCAGATGTCAAAAAAAACATCCCTGATTGCTTCTTTATTCATAAACATAAACAAACATTTCCTAGCCTAAAACATATAATTTACTGGATCAAGCAGTGAAGCTACAGATAACAACCAAAAGACATTGACAGACATAACCGTCTCTTTCATAGCTTGTACGGTAACATATAAGAACCTGCAAAAACTGCATGGTTATCCTTTCAATGCCAGTAACTTAAATGTATATAGACTGTAAACTGCTTACCGACAACCAAAGCTTTTGATGTGCTTGATTTTGTACTTCATAGTTTCTTCTAAATTTTCTTCCAATTAACATTTAGATCATGTAGAAGCCTTTGTCAAAGATTACATTTCACAGTAGGGAAATCACACATGTTGATAATAGAATTAATAATGACAGATTTCCATTTAGCTGCTTCAGCCTCAGGGTCCTTGCATTCAGCGTGTTGGCATATTATTGTCACACTATCTTGGCTTACTGTGACAGGTTCAAATCCTTGATGTTATTAGTGAAAACATGACATGTCAAAATATTCACTGTAAAAAAGGCCTGTTTTGGATTTAGCTGAAGTTCTTACCTTAAAGTTGCATTTGCAAAAGTAAAGCCTGGCAAAAGTGACCTTCCCAGTCAAGGATGCCCTTTTGTTTTAATATTCACACAAGCATGCATGCACACGCACGCGCGCGCACGCACGCACGCACGCACGCACACACTCACACAACCTTATGTGTAAGATTTTTTTTCTTGCAGACAGCACACAGTAACCGACCCAATTAAGGAGAATGAGGAACACCTGTGCTGGTCAGCAGGGCTCCCCAGTAAAAACACTCTTTCCCGTCTGTCTGTCACTCTCTCTCTCATTTACACGCACAAACACACTCACGTGTGCAAAATGTAGATGGTTGCCAATCTCTGCACAGCTGCCTGTGCTCTTCACCTAGTCCAGGTCATCACTGCTAAAAGTAACAGTTACATCCTACAAGACATAACCTGTACAGGGGTGTAGACAGACAGACAGACAGACAGACGGAGTAAAGTATATATAGCAGAAGAGAAAATATTTTGTCAGGTTCTTTTTTTGCCAGTATATCAGCCTCTTCATAATTCATTGTAAGGAACCCATTCATTATTTTAGTTTTGGGCAATATGTGTTTTCCATTCACTATGATGACCTGACATCCCTCAAGCCAACAAATGATATGGGCTACTTCTTACAGTTTTTTCCAATTGCTAAAACACAATTTTGCAAACTCGGCTGGTTTTATCAAAATACTTAACACAATTCACAAAACCACACACCCAAACTGCAAAATACCTCATATATTCTGCAAAATGAAGCATTGCAACCAAAACTACATATACCATTATCAAAATCAAACTTTTGCACCAAATGGCACACACTTCATTCATATTACCAGATTTTTGTCTAACCAACTACACACTGTTGGGCATAATGAAAAGCACTCTCATCTTTAGTATGCTTTGTCATAATACTAAAATAGTTTGAATTGTAGAAAATTCTTCAGATTGTTCACATGCACAGAAATATTTGCAGATACACACACATGCTGTTGAAACATTTTTATTTTTTATTTTTCACCAAACAAGTCAGTGCAACATATACCAGTACAGTAAAAAGTTGGGCTGCACTCTCTGTCCAGCCTCTCACATTGTCAGCCCATGGTTGATGACACGATCAACTAAGGTTGCTCTGACTTCATTTGAAAGTTGTTGTCTTCTCTGGCCATGAACTCCTCTACCAGCTCTACCACTACCTCTCAATCTTCCTCCCCCTCTCATTCTCACCCTCCCTCTTCCTCTTCCTCTCTCTGCAACGTCTTCCCTTGTTGTTGTAAAAAGAAAGGTGTTCACTTGTGGTCTTTTCATCGTGCTTACTTCCTGATTGAAGTGATAACAATTAACCATTGAGGTGTTTGGCCAGGTGGCACATACGTTGGCCAATTAGCTCATGTAGTGTCATTTTGAATGGCAGTGTTTTGAAATGGCAAACATGTGACTTTATGTCAGATTGTTGTGTCTTATGCAGAGAACAGTGTTCAGTGCATTTAAAAAGTGCCATTTTGAATTGCAAAATGTGTGTAAAGCAGAAAATGTGTTTACACTTTTGGAGACTTGAGAAGAGGTTTTGCTCTCTGTGTGTCAGTTTAAATAACTGTGCTATGCGTGTCATTTTAGTGTGTTAGCAATTGGAAAAAACTGTAATACTCACGCACATGAATTTCTAAACCAAGTTCATTTCCATCCATCCATCAAATTATGAGACACCCAAAGCTACAAATGTCAAAAGGCAAGGAAAAAAGTCAGACCAAAAAGAACCAACTGATTATGAACACATCATGGTGATTCATACTAGTAGAATCTGCAAGTAAACTGATCTAATATTTATACTGTTGTGTTTTCTCTTCCACCAATAACCACTAACTTCTCCCTGTGCATACATACACTATGATGATTCTCTGTGCAGTCTGTGAATCTCTGAGAGTCTTTATTGCTGCTGCAGCTGGAATAATTGAGTTTATATGAGCTCCCTTGTGGCTCTAAAGTATTATCATTTACAATATAAACTTTCATCGGTTTCATCAACAGATATTTTTCCACATTGTGTTTTTTCTGTTTATGTAAATGCCTTAAAGGCCTATTTTTCAATGTTCTAGGAAATGATGCATTTTAAGAAGAGTTATTGATGTAATATGAGCCATAAATACACATAATACATATATATATATGGCTTTCATTAAAAGCTATCTCAAGATGAGTGGGAAATTTGGTACAAGTTCATCACCATCATGCTCAGAGCATCTGTAAGCTGAAATCTTTGCTGTGGTTCAGAGTTAGCAGGTGTTGTAATGTAAAGTTCTTCTTGATAAAACTAATGACAAAAAAACATTTCCTGCCAAAACTGCTGATGTAAAAATCCAGCTGCGAGAGCCGTGGTGATGTCAAATGTGGTTAATACAAACATTTAACAAAAATCCCACGGTGAGCACTTTAAAATAATAACTGTACATATCTGTGAAATATGATGTTAAAACGTCATTTTCACCTGATGTGGTTTACTGTGAAGCTAATGTACCTTTACACAGCAATAAAGAGCAGCGTAGTAAAGTAAAGAGGAATTATGACCTGCTCACCGGACCCAAAATAGCAACACCTATCATCTAGGAGTATTTGCCACTTTATCTCTATAAAGACCATAATGCTTGATGCAATATTCATAAAGTAGAATTACATGTTGTTTTTTCTTTACGAGTGTTACAACGTGCTACAGATCCAGCTGTCATTGAAGGAAAGTGTTGAATGTTCCGTTTTATTTCCCTGTCCTGCTGGAAGAAATTAATCTTGCCTGGATAATTTTGTGCTCAATAGTGTGTGTGTGTGTGTGTGTGTGTGTGTGGTGTAATAGATGAAGCACATACAGCCCCTGTGGTGTTTGTTCTAAATGAGAGAGTGTCTTCACAAGCACATTATCGGGCTGAGCTGCCCGAGCCTGCCCGAGCCTGCCGGCCCTGCAGGACAAATATTTCACTATTATGGACTTTTGTGCTTTTTCTATAACATGACCCTCACTGGACTGAAGAAAGTGCTTAATCTTTTTTATTGCCAATTACAGATGTCCGAAAGCACACTGAGCTGAAATAAAGAGAGAATAATCAGCTAGAGTGAGGAGTGGAGTGAGACAGAGAGGCAGACAGGTGGAGGTACTGTACAAACTGGAGGACAGGAAGAGACTGTGTTTACACTCAGAGAGCAGTGAGTACCACGTTGGCTCAAATTGAGGCCAAAAAGCCAATAAAACATCAGGAGAGTAGTCCGACTCCTCAAACACAAAATACCATGCCTCAGTCCCAGGGAGCCTGATTAGACACAGCACAGCCCACAGCATGGATGCTGTCCATTCACCGTTTATTATCCTCTGGTGTAACAGAGAGTTCACACTTTAAGTAAAAGGAGATAACAGAGCAGAACCAATTGACCAACATTAAGCTTCATAACATTTACTATTCCCAAAAGGTATTACTGAAAGTCTGCTGAAAAGTGGGGTTAGGTGGATACTCTATTTAGTTGTCATGTTTTCAGTTCAATATACCCACAAACACATTACTATTTATATGCAAGCGGACAGATTCAGCCACTTGATGACGGATTCATCAAGTGTAACAATGATACACTTCAAAGTCCTGCATTTCTCCATTCAAAGTCTAACTTAAACCAACTTTGAGTACTTTTTTAGCAGGGTATGACTGGAATCAAAAGTGATGCCTTTATATGATCTAAAACAGCAAAGGAAACCATCAGCGAGAAGTTTGATCATTTTCATACTGCTTCTTTACTTTAGCTGTCATTAAGCCGGTGTCAGATGAGGTGTTTTCTGGCGACAGAATGCTCCCATGTCATTTTTTCTCCAAAAATTCATGGCGAGTGATACAGTTGACTGATCAAAGAAAAAATTTCACACGAACAGGACAGAACAGTAAAGAGATAAGTCGTACTGCTGTAGCTTTAAGTCAAAGTACAGACACAGAATCAGCTATGCAATATCTATCAAAGGTACTCAGAGAACAAGATTTATTAGTCTTTGTTGACATTTGATAACTTATGTTTACTAGTATGTTTTCATTATTTAAACTAATGCACAAAGCAGCATTTAATGCTATTCAGTTATGGTTGATATGAGGGTCAACACGTTGCTTACCTGCTCATGGATCATTGTTAATAGTTTAATAGCACATTCATTTCTATGCTTTAGCTACATATTGCTGTTAACATCTCTGTATGTTTACATACATTAAATCTTTAACACAGAACTTCTACTTTTCATGGGTCATATTAGTATCGCTCTTTTTACTAAAAATACTTTCAATCTCTTTTTATATTTAATAACATGTACATAGAAAAAACCTCTGGACATTTTTTTGAGAAAAGGCCTCATTTTTAAAGTGTCCCCTCCTCTGAGATCTCCTGCAGGCTGCTGTAGTTTTATTCCTCCTCCGTGGCTGTGATGTCCTTGTTAAGATACTCTTTCTCGCTATTTCCCCTCTCTACACTCTCCCTCTCTCTCTGCTCCCTAAAGGCTTCGGTATCGCCTCTCCAAAGCAGCAATATTTCTCCTTGAAATTGAATTTGTTCCTGCTGGTTGATTTATCGCGGCATGTCTCCCTGCCTGCAACACTGCCGCAGCTCTCTAACAAATGTGTTCAGAGAAATACTGTGTAGTTAAAATATCTCGAAACCTACAATTTAAAGTTTTATCTTTTCGTTAAGGCGTTTCCTGAGAAGACGAGACCGTTAAAAGAAAACTGGGAGTTATTTTTTCTAGGTGTGTTTGCTTTGCTTGATATTTTTGGATGCTTGGTATTTCTCGTTCTTGCTGTGATGTTTTACTGTCAACTTTTCTCTGTGTTGCATAATACTTCTGTCTTCATTCTCAAAGTCTGTTTGAAGAGAAACATTAATTCTGTATATGACAGATGTTTTATAGAAGACACAGTGCATTATGTGTGTGTGACTCATAACAGAGAGAGAGGAGTCTTTGAAAATAGGTGGAAAATATAATTACCTTCAACTTCCTAAAATTAATTAAAACGACTAAATTTGGAACTGCAACAAAGTTGAGAGAAAAACAGACTACAGCTGTGTGTGTGTGTGTGTGTGTGTGTGTGTGTGTGTGTGTGTGTGTGTGTGTGTGTGTGTAAAAAAAGCTTTAAATTAGCTTGAGACCAGAGTTTCAGATGATCAAAATTAGTGGTGATACACAACCAAAGATTATAGCTCAGTAGTTGAGCAGCCACAGAGATATAAACCCAAACGATTCCCCCTCTGCTTTAATTACTTTGGTTTGAATAAACAAAAAACTTGTGAAGTAGAGGATATGACAATAGCTGTGGGGAGATGTTGCCAAGAAAAAAATAAATTAATGGGACATACGCCCAAAAAACCAAGTTGACAGTCTGTTGGAGCAATAGGGGGGCATCTGTTGTATGTGTGTTTATCTGTGTGTGTGTGTGTGTGTGTGTGTGTGCGCGTGTGTGTGTGTGTGTGTGCGCGTGTGTGTGTCTATGGTGTAAAGGTGAAATTTTGTCTTGCAGCTGCTCTAGTAAGGAAGAGAATACAAATTGCTCTCAACACACAATCCACACAAACAGTCACACTTTGTTGACCTCCATCTTTGCCAGTATTTAAAAAGAAAAACTAGCTCAATAATGATTAAGACTTCTGAACCTGAATGCCAGAGCTTCATTGCCAGAGCAAATCCAAGACAGTGGACCATCAAGGATTTTGGTACAAAATATTGTACTATCTGAGTTTGCATGCTTTGATGAACATTTCTGGTCAATTTGTGCAATCTGCACTTCTTCTGCCCATGGGTGCACTCATAGGAGTGGTCAGGGCCCCCCTTGAAATCTGATTGGCCACCCCAGGTGCAACCCCAAAAACCCTAAATTATGATTGGTTATTTGAGTATAACATTTTCTTTATATATCAGTGTATCATAATTTTTTTTTTTTGTACTTTAAATTGTCACTAAATACGTTCCACATCTATTTCATTATGCAGGTGCATAGGAAAGTAATGTACACTGTCTTACTTGCAATTAACAAACTGCCAATTAATGTATTTTTGAAAGTTAGACAGTGTGCAGATGTTTGTGTGCAATTGTTTAAATACTTAAATACTGAATTGTGACTTTGAAAATACATCTTTTTGTGTCGTTAAAGAATTAAGATAAGAATATACATATGTTGCCATTATCTTGTGTTACAAAGTAGATAGTAATGGTGCACATCACACTTCAGGCCACCCCTGCATAAGTCAGTACACCAGTTGGGCCACCCCAGTCCAAAAAGTCTGGACACACCTCTGCTTCTACCCTTTAGTACCCAAACTGCTCTAGAAAACAAAAACAGATAGAAAGACAACGTTTGTGATGTTAAACTTGTATAAGGATCTTTACAGTGTGTGCAAGTGTTGTCTTTAGTTGGTCTGTTTGCACTAAATCTGAGTTAATACCCTGTCTGTCCCTTCAGGCACCCTGGGAATCAGAGGTTGCACCATCCTCGGCCTGTTGACGCATTGTCTCAAGCTGCAGACGCTCCATAGGGAGATGTGTCCTCTCTTAAGATCAGACTAGATCTTATGATGAAAAGCTACAGATAACTTTATAACCAATAAACCGACCTGCCAACCAGCTGCTCTGCTACAGTACTTTCCCCTTGCAGCAGATGGGTAGATAATCATTTGTTTATAGAGGTAGTGTTTAATCCAACATGTGTTCTGCATTTTTCTTTAAACTGGCTGAGTCTCTGTTCTTAGTTAACAACACTCTTCTAATTTGAGTAGCATATGTACTCCCCAGTGCTCAAATTCTTATTTTAGAAGCCTTGAAGAAAGAAGTGAAATCAGATATAAATAGGAGCACAGAAAAAGGCAGCCATGTTGGGATTTTGAATACCGGACATAAGCATGTGTTTGTTTCTGTGTATGGTAATGGTTGACACTTTGTCTTGAGAGCAACTTGTTTCAAGGAAGCCATGGAAAAGTAAAGCAGTGGGCTTGGTGTGCTTCACAGACACTTTGTGATCGGCTGACAAACATTTCGACTCTCAAAAATCTGTATCGTCATAATTAGATTTTTTTTTTTCTGTAAGGACTCAAAAATGCTGTATGTCAGTCAATTGAAAATTAAATCATATAAATGTTCCACTATCACCAGCAACACTGAGACTACAGCTGCAACAACTGCCTGCAGAGAACCAGAGGTTGAAGGATTTACAGATAAATCTTGAACCACTTGGTAACAAAGGCACATTTTATATATCGTAGAAATGTTGCCCTTGTGTGTGATACACCCACTCATACCTAGCCAACGTGAGGATCAAAATCAGTAAATGTGATCAAGACAGGTCTACTGAATCTGCCAAGAACTTGAAGGTTTTCAGCGTGACTCATCCTTGTTGAACAGATGCAACAGATGTGATGCTCAATATTGTCAAAGTGTGTTAACTCTTACAGGAATCATCATTAATAGTAAAGTAAGCTTAGTGGTTAGTGCACATGCCACATGTACAGAGCCTATAGTCCTTCAAGCAAGTGGCTCGGGTTCAAATCCGACCTGTGGCTCCTTTCCCGCATGTCATTCTCCACCCTCTCTCTTTCCCTGATTTCTGACTCTATTAATTATCATGTCTCTAAAATAAAGGCAGAAAAGGCCAAAAATAAACTTTAATAAAATAAAATGAATAGACACCAGACGTTTAACAGTCTTTATTTAAAACTTTATATAGACAGTGTTTTTGAAGGTTTCATCATCATTCAAAGAAGAATTATCCGTCCTGTTTTGATTGAAGTAGTAAAGTAGGTATATTTAGTTTAATATTATATCTCATTTAAAAAAATACTGTTTCTAAATATTAATAAAGGATTTAACCAAGCTTTGAAATGCATTATTATACAGCGAACATCACATTAAATGGTTAAATGGAGCACAACATAAAAATATCTTTAATAATCTTTAATCATATATAACAATAAAAAAAAACACTTGAAATGGAAGTACACCTTCACAGAGCAATTTCTTAAAATCCCAAAGAAATCAATCACATGTTACATTAGAGATATAAAAACAAAACTGATATCTACAACGATCTAAAATATATATTTCTTGTCTGACATTTCAAGAACAACTGAACTTTCAGACCCTCGTCATAAACACCAAACAGAGCGTCCCCGTTTATTGGATCTGACAAAAAAATCCATCTTATCTGGACATAAATTAAATTGGCTGCGATGTCCTCTTGGAAATGTCTTTGTGTGAGATTTATGTTCTGTAGAATCCTTTGGGCTTCGGGCTGTAACAGAAAAGTAAGAGGTTTCGGTTTGAGTGTTGGAAAGAAATGCAGGCCACAAAAAGCTAAAAGCAAATATTTTGTTAATGTATGTGTCTGATAAGTGTTTTAAATATTCAGATTCACTGATGATGAATGAGAGTGTGCTTGAGTGCAGGAAATGGTTCTTACTTACTTTTTGCATTTACAGAGCCGATGTCTGAGGTGACTCGTCTTCCGCTAATGTCAGCCACAAAGACACAAAGAGAGAGACAAAGACAAAGTAAGAGCATAATGAGTACTCTGAATATCACTCTAATCCTCCATTGTGTGATTTATCGAAAAGATATAGGAATGGTTTAGCCGTACTTGTCTGCGTCTGCAGATGATGAAAACAAGTATGAGGAGGAGGACGATGATGACTGTGACACTACATATGATCACCAGCATCCACACACTCAGCTTAGGCTCTGCTTTTAGAGAAACAGTCAGTCATCAAACACTTAACAGTGACAAAAACTCATCAAGTTTCAAACATTGTAGCCACAAGGTCGTGCCCATGTCACACTTCCTGCACCGCTCTCACTTCCTGCACTCACCGATCTTGAGTGTTATCACAGCAGACGTCAGGCATACATTGCCCTGCCACAGCTCACACCTCCACCTTCCTCCGTCTCCTGCCCCCACTCCCCGGATGGTGAGGTGGGCAGGGTGATGGTCAGTTGTCAGAGATAGAAGAGACGATTGTTCAGGTGGGACCCATTTTAGTCTAAGGGAAGAGGGCAGAGGCTCGCCAACGCTGCAAGACAGGTTAACCTGCTGGCCAGAAATGAACTCGGTTCCTGCAGAGGAAGTGACTGCAGAGGGAGCGAAGAGGGGCAGAAACAAAGGACGAGGAAATTAAGAAATGTTATATCAAATCAGTATGAAATGCTTGAGAAAATACACCAATTTTGACAGACTGGGGCAATGCTGTAAACTCAGAAAAAGCTCCCGTTTCTCAACATTTACAATTCAAATCCAACTGAGCATTGGCTTGTGGTGCAGCTGCGTGCCAGCAAAACTTGCCAATTAAAATAAAATTAAGCTGCATATTTTTAAATGAAAATGAAAAGTAGACAGCATCAGTCTCAAATGCACACTCCACTTAGGATAAATATCGAGGACAGAAAAACAACAACATTAGATTGTTATTAATAAAACAAATCACTGAAAGTGTCAAACCTTCTCTGCCTGCAACCCAAATCTGAATACTTGTTTTTCTGCTCAAATGTCTGTTCTGTCTGATGAACTAAAGATCTAAGTATATATGTAATAGAATAAATTTAATATGATTTATTTTATGAAAACATTATAAATAAACGTTGGCACATTGAAAACTACTTTACAGTCACTTTATTGTGAGCGAACAATGTGCTTCGCCTAAGAGCCTCAGTCAATGATCTCGGTTGTTTCTCGTAGGCTGCTTTGTTCAGTGCCTCTTGCATTTTTATCGTGTTGGCTTTTTAGCTGTACTGTGTTTTTTGTTGTCTTTTTACTGTCTTGTTCTGCCTTGCCGCAAAACCAATCGCCCTTGGGTGACAAATAAAGTTCCTGCAACCAACCAGCACCTGAGAACGTAGCTTGGCTGTGCATGGAGTACCCTGTTAGTCATTATTTATTTTATGTTGAACCCCACTGGATTATTGGTCTCCACCTATTATTTTGTACAAAGTGAACAAGAAACTGTTTACATTTAAAAAGCCATTTGTAGATCTAACTTTTAATTTATAGTAGGTAATCATTTTATGACTGACTCTCAGAAACCTGAGTGAAACTGCAGTCTAAAATGTCTCTGAGGTGTTGGCTTGTTAATTTCAGCTAGCAGACCAAAATTAGTAATTTGTATCACAGAGTAGAGACAGTGATTTTAGGAGGGCAACAATGAAAAGAACCAGACAAATTGCAGCAGGAATCCAGTGGGGTTTGGTTAAACCAGGGAGATCGAAACCGAGTAAAGGGACCAACATTTACTAGATATAGCCTACCTCGTCTTGAGTATACGTAAGTCTATTGTATTGGTTTCTTTTCACTGCTTAAATATTACTTCAGATTATAATGAGAATTTGTAGTTTTACACCATAAATCCAGAAAACATGGAGGGCTATTAAAATTCATTGTGTTATCAGACTCTCCTGGCAGGGGGGGAAGCTTGTTATTCTCTATTAAAACAAGTGGAGCTAGAAAAGTGTATTAGCCACTGAATTAGACACACATCACACCAGGGACACTTCCACATAATCTCTGCAGGAGGAAGATGAAAGCCAAGCAGGGAGGTAGCAAAGAAACAACTGTCTCCGATTTATTACGAATGACAATTGAGGAGCGAGAAAGTGGACATCAAAAAAAGAAAAATGAGGACATATGATAGATAAAGAAAAGGAAAGAGAATTTCAGAACACATAAGAGTGCAATACATATTTGGGTGAGTTGCTTTGACTTACTTTGCAGCACCTTAACATGAACAGTCCTGTTCAGAATCACACCATCTCTAACTTTCATGGAGCAAAAGTAATCTCCTTTGTCATGTTCCCTCCCTTGCTTTCTGGTCAAAGACAGAAGGCCTTTTTTGAGGTCTAGTACAGGAGTCAGATCTCTATCCTGGTCTTTCTTCCAAGTCGGCGGATCACCCAGGGAGAGGAAGAAGAGTCTCTGTGGGTAACCAGAAACATTATTTGATCCAGGTTGAGGATTGAAGTGCCAGTTAACTTCCTGGAGGCCCACAGCTTTGATCTGTTCCCAGGAGATGTGAGCGGGAAACGAACAGGGGACGGTCAGAGGCGTGGATTTAGATGTATACAGAGGATCTAAAGGAGCTGGGGAAAGGTCTAAATAATGAAGAAAAGAAAATAATTATAAAGTAACCTCAAGATGACGGTACATTTAAATAAATTAGATGTATGCACACGTGTAACTCACCCACAACAGTAACAGAGGTTTTGGCTTGGTTTTCCTTTTTATTATTTGTCACAACACATGTCCACTGGCCATGGTCTTGGCTTGTAACTCTCACTTTGTGCTTTCCTTGTTTGGTCTCAACCTTCTCCCCCCGTGGATTCAGCCAGTGTATCTCTGGACTCTGAGCATTTGGAGGAGTCTCTGCTATGCAAGTCAGAGTCAGAAGTTCTCCCGGCACCAGAGGAGAGGCTCGGTCCACAGTGACTACAACACAATTTGAGCAGGTTGAAGAAAATATAAAATTGATATTGCTTCTTTTTTTAATATAATTCAGGAGTTTGACTTTTAAAAAACTCATTGAAATGTTGGCTTTTCAGAAAGTTGACTTGTTTTACTCTTACCGCTGATTTTAAGCAGTCTGTATGTGAGTTTGTTACTTTCAGAAAGAGATTTACAGACAAAAGTTCCAAAGTTTTCTTGTTTGATGTCATTGATGATCAGTGATGAGTCGTCAGACAACTTAGTTTTCCAATGTTCTGCAAGACAAGAATTAACCACCAATGAAAATGACATCATTTTAAAATGAACTGTTTAGATTTTGTAAAATTCAGACCTGTATTAATGAAATCCTTTCCACCAAGGGGATTACTCCATGCAAGTCGAACGCCACTTTCGTCACCAAAATACCAGTGCAGATAATTTCCATGTAAATTATTCAGCAGCTTGAGGGTAACTGTGTCTCCCACCTGAGCATATATCACCTCCTCTGCCTCTGAGAGAGTGAGAAGGATGAGTTGGTGAGTTTAATCCTCGAACCCAAACTTTCTAGCAACAAGTCAACATAAAGAAATCAACAATCAACAATGTAACTTACTCGTAGATGACGCGAGCACAGCAGAGAGAATGAGGATGGCTTGAATAAAGTTCTTCATCTCAGTCATCAGGTCTCTAAGAAAATTAAATAAAGGAAAACAAAGATAGTATTTACATCAGTTTGAATAAAACCGATGTAAAAAAGAAGAAGTATAAAACAATGTGTAATGATGTGAAAATGAATGTGCACTGTTTTACTTAAGTCTCTGCATTTTGTAGATTAGCCCACAAAAATGCACATCGCAAAAATAAAAAAAAGGAATACCAAAGCATGAATACTTTTTTGTTAAATTAAAAAAAAAAAATGTTTTGCCTCACATTGAACCTGCTTTGAAAAATATTTTTGAAAACCCCAAGAACTCAAACTTTTGTCTGATTCAAACAAAAAGTTAAGTCATCCAAGAAATGATGCTTTCGATAGTCCAGGGTTCAGTGAAATAGACTCGTAAGTTGTGCCGATTGCTATGATGGTAATAAAATACACACCATGTTGTATAATTTAGCCAATCAGCAGCATGAACACTTGGAAACTGATTGGCCCAATTATGGAGCCCTGTGGAACACCATCATTCTGATCTCATTTAAGACTATAATTTTTGAAGTTCTGTACTATTTATATATCTGTGGTCTGATTGATTTTGATCAAGCTGTTATTATTACTAAGGTAACTGTTCATCTGTTTTTTTAAATCCTAAATTCTCCATGACTTATAAATGAATTATACTTCATCAATTCGTTAAATATACTAACACTGAATGGCAATCTTTTTCTATAATCATTGCAGTGTATTCTTGTGAATGTCAATGTTGGACTTTTCTATTGACACGGTATCAAATAGGTGTTGATCCAACTGATTTATTCTTTTCTGTGGCCTGTTTTGCGGTGATATTGTCCTGGTCTTCATTGTATGTTATTGTTAAAAATGATTATAGAATTATATAACAAACATAATAGTTTCACATTACATTTCCCTTGTATAGCCATTAGTGGAAAATACTACAATCAGAATATTTCAACCACTCAGATATCAGAAATTCCGCTACAGCGCAGATCATTTCTGAACATTCAGCTGAACAACACCGTGATGATTCCTTGCAAGGTTCTTAAACTAAATTGCAAAAGGTGTGTCTTACAGATACATAAAATGATAACAAAATGAGTTATGGACTGGTAAAAAAAAGAAAAAAAATTATGAAAAGTAAATTTTTGACAAATGTTAAAGACGTATAATTTTCTATCAAATTGTGCTGCAAAGAGAATTCATTCAGCAGGAAGCAAAGAGGGGTTTGAGGTGGTCTTAGATTTGGAGAGATTTGAGAAGATAAAAGATGAAGAGTTGAAAGAGACAAGAGTAGGCGGCCTGTGGTGGGTTTTTGAACGAGAAGAAACAGACAAATGTTGGAGGGAAGAGACGCAAAGCATACGCTGCGTTGTGGTGGGCCTTGATTTAGTTAAGGTGCAGATTCTTATCCCAAGCCTCCCCTCTGCCTCTCACACCCCCTCTCTTCCTCCCCTGTTCCACGAAAGACGGATCTCTCCTCGCTTAAAAGGAGAGAAGAAAAGAGACCACAGCACCAGCAGCACACCTAGACTGTGGTTTAAGGTAGATATTTCTCTCTTCTCTCTCCCTGTGTCACTCCCTTATCTCTCTCTCTTTTCTCCCTTCACTTTCTTTCTCTTTTGTGTAAACAGTAAGTCATGATAGCACAAAGACATCTTTAATTGTTGCTTTTATGTTGAGTTTGCCTCTTTAGATAAAAGATGCTGATTATCAGAACTGTGTTTGAATTAAAAGATTAACAACAATTAAATAATTAATAAATATGATTTCATAAATGTATGCTGTACGTAAAAGACATTTTCTCACAATAGAGAAACAAATAGTGGGTCCTGTACATTTGGGACACCTTGATGGCCAAACAAGTGCAGAAGAATAAAAATGGGATGCTAAATGTACAAATATATTATAAAATGTATAAAAATGACTGACTAATGTGGATATTTATTTCTGTTAGATTAATACTATTATATAAATAGAAGAATAACTGTTGACGCTTTTTATTTGTACTGGCCTTCAATACAATTGATGGAACAGGTTTGAGTCCAACATAAGTTACGCTTGTTACCTATTAAGAAACGTCATTGTAGTAATTACTTTCAGTTGTCTTATTTATACCCTCAAAAACTTTTACAACCCCACTTTGCACTGACTGCATTTTCCTTGTATTGAAAATATATATATATATATATATATATATATCTATCTATATATCTCTCTCATAGATTAACTCAGAGGGCACCCTGGTGATCGAGGTGTTAGGGCACCAACCATGGATGTATTGTCCTGAGGTTCAAGATTGGGCGACCCCTTTGTCAAACTTTGTATGATATGACCAATTTGATAGAAAAATTAAAAATTATAAAAATTAAATACAAAACACTTTTTTCACATTCGTCTGCGTTTACACTGACAGAATGTGGACTCAGTTATCATGACATGTAAATATGGGACAATGAATGAAGACAAAAATGTTCTGAAAGCGAAAAGTGTTTGCATTTGTAAAGTGTCTACAAGGTTTCATATGCTAGTTCAGTTAAACCTCAACATTTGAGGTTAGTCTAGGAGTCAATAATGTTTAATTTCATCTTCCAACTGTGATAAGAGTTTGTAAAAAAAAAAAAAAAAAAAAATTCTAAAGAGGGGAATCAAACACAGAGTAAAATTTGTGGTAAACAGACATTCAAAGTGAGCACACCTGTGGAGCTGTAACCCAGAAACTGAGACGATCGTATCTGCAGTCAGGATGGAGCTTCAAAAACAAGCAGCGGGGGAGGGGGAAGGGCAAAGGAAGGTGAGGGTCAAACACGGCAGAGATGAAGGTGGGGACAGCAAACTGCAAAACACAAGACAGGTGAGTTAAGAGTTAATGTTTTCTAAATGAAAGGTGTCTTTACCAATTAAATCATGTCTGAATTTAGACTGAATACGTACAACACAATCTTAATGTCTTATTAGATCCTTATGGAAATACTTATTCATATACTGTAGTTTTAGCAGTGTATATATACTTTACAAAATACGTAAAGAATGAATGTACAACTTTTTGAATGTTCTTTATATTTCTACAACAAAATAAAACTATGAACACTAATTAAAGTCAACGGTACTTTTGCCCATATTGTCAGACTGTGTTCAAATGTTCTTGGAAAACATAAACACCGAACAATCACTTTTTAAATTTCAGCCCAAATGACCTTTCATACCTTTTTAAATAGTAAATGTGTGAGTATAACAGAAGTTCATTTTGTAATGATCACCTGCCCGTTGAGTTGTGATTCATCATTTGGTTCCAGCAAAAAGTAATAATCACAACAATCTTCAATATAATTGAACATTTATCAAAAACCTTATTTCTTTATTTATGAAATGTGTTGTTGGTTATTATAATGTTTAATATTCTCGCACTTCTTTCAGTTGAATTGTATCTTGTGTCTTGATGAATACAGATTATGTCATCAGATTTATGTTTAAATCTCACTCACATATTTTGGGTCCTATAGTAACCCGCTGAGGTCACACAAGTCCATGATTTAAACTTAGTATCGTGTATAAGAAAGAAAACACACACCGTACACTGCATGTAAACAGAAGTTGATGTTTTTTTAAGTATATTCAGCAACAACAAAAAACTGCATACTTACAGCTGTTTTTGAGAGCTGAGTGTCTTTTGTGTTCAGCGATCAGGAGTCGGATGGAAATGCAGAATATTTATCAAACGAGCCCTCCTTTTAAGCGTGGCTGCACCTCCCTCGCTGATGATTGGTCTGTAAATGAAGCAAACAGTTGCTGATCAAACCCAGAACCAGAATAATGACCTGTGATTGGTTGTGACAGAGGAAGAGGGCAGGAGGTCATCAATGTTTTTCATTTTATATCTTAAAAGTGTTGTTCAGCACATAGATACATCCTCTGTATTGTTCTATTAGATGAAAAAACAAACCATTTGGTCAGAGTAATGGTGCCTTATTTCAATGAGGAGATTTAAATGTACTTATGATATAACTCTGTTTCTGTTTTTATTGGTCCACACATACACGGACAAAAAGCTAATTTTATTTGGCTAAAATTGTTTTTTTTGAGTTGCTGCCTGATAACAGAAGAACCAAAATTTGAGAGGGGTCTCACTGGACTCATTATCTATCTTTGGCCTGTTCTAAATAGCATACATGCAGCTCACGGCCCAATTTACTATAATTGCTGGGTTGATTTTCCCCGGGTCTTATGATTGCACTGATTTATTCATATAGTGTTCTAAAAATTTAAACCATGAACTAATGGGCCAGCCTTTATAAAAGCTGTTGTTAAATGCAAATTAGGAATGTAACATTAACTAAAAAAGAAAACAGGTTAAACACTGAAAGCTCGGGGGAATACTGAATTGTCTCATCGAGGCAGAGAGAGAGACAGGATTCATGTTTGTTTCATATGAATACAAAATAAAGATAATGACGCTGGGAGAAATATACAGTGTACTCTATAGTCCTAAATTTACAACAGGATTAATGGCCGTTTTAATTCTTTGAAGTCTGCGGAGACAATCATCTTTTCCTGACACACAAATAGACATGGCGGACTCAGAAACCAGTTTGTTCCAGACGAATTAGATGAGTTTAATAACTCCTATGTGATCATGTTTTAATATCAACCAAAGAAACAAAAAAAGATAGAGACAAGCAAGGTCTCTTTAATCTTCTTTTTGGACCGACCATTAACTCAGATGATTCTTTCTTACTTCACTCTTTGGTAACCTGACAGAGGTCATCTGTATCTGCATTACAGCGCTTCATTAATGAAGAGCGCACTGCTATTGAGTCAAACATTTAACACCAAAAGTTGTTTAATCCCCACACCAAACTTCATGTGCATAATTTTAAAATAACAAGGAACTCATCATGCAACACTGGATATATTTGAGTAAATATTGTTTGAATAAAAAAAAAAAAAAGGTTTTGGGGTTCAAACTAAATAAAGAGCGAGTTCATCAAATGGGACGTGAAGGTTGACGAGGTGAAAGATTTTCACTTAATGTTTTCTTCTAATTATTTTTTTTTGATGTCATTAAATTCATGTTTAATGATAATTCCAGAGAATGAACAGCCTTGGCTCAGTTATATACAACGTCTTTGCCACAGTGAATTCATTAAATGCAGACTGAATTTATATTCCTTAATTGTCTTTAGTCAGCTAACTTGGAAAGTTACAAAATTCTTGACACAGAACATTTCAGTAAAATATCCACTGACAATGTATTCAATCTATTTCCCACCAAGTCAAAGCATCTTTTAATACACCTTCATATCCCTATGACTTCAGATTGGCTCAACTTTTTTATGTTTTTGTTCAAAACCAAAAATGAAGCTGTAAGTAGACAAAAAAATTTAACTCAAAATTTGAGCAAAATCAGATCTATGTCCAAAGTGCGTCTGCTGCCTAAACCTGGACTCTGAAGCGAACGGCCTGCTGTCTTTATGCTCAATCGGCCGTGTCTAACCTCTAGTCCAGACTGCACCAGGGACCCGGTTATAATACTTCTTCCATGTGTATGTTTAGATAAAGTTAAGCTTTGTCATAATAAAGACGAGTTCTGTGAAGCTGTTCTTTGTTAAAGGTACAACAAGTATGCTAGCTTATGTTCACCTACGCTGTAGAATTGTTATTTAAGCATGTTTTTCATTTTGCTTCGATTGAGTGAATGGAGATATGAAGGAAATTAATTCACTCTAATCACATGTAAAATTCAGTTCACATGCTACATTATAAAGGGATGATTGTAAATGCACACCTGTGTGAGAGCCAAATATCTGCTTGTGCTTATCTCCCCTCAAAACCTGATGTAAAGCGTCTTCAGCACTCAACCGTTAAATCACACCTGCGTTTCTCTGCTGTCTGGGTTGGTTTCATGTTCTTGTTAAAAGAATAAGACACATTCTTTTTATGTTTAAATATACTTGGCGATAAACCTGATTCTGACTTTAACTTATTGTTGTTATTTTTAGAATGATACACACTATGTTAAAGTTATTACACTGCTATTACACTACGCTTTGTGATACAAGTATGAGAGTTCAATTCTAAGAAGAAAAATCCTTCAATAACTATTTCTACTTTTAAACCAATCGCAGCCAATTGCAAGGTTTATTCATCAACCGAAAGGTGACAGAAGGCAAATTCAATTGTGATTACGGAATAGTCTATGTTTGTTCATTTGGGCCTCTTTCCTTTATTTAGATAGGACAGTTAGATAGAGTTGGAAATCGGGAGAGAGAACGGGGAATGACACGCAGGAATGGAGCCTCAGGTCGGTTATCGAACCCTGGACGCCCGGAGATCTCAAATTCTGACTGAAAGTTTGCATGACTTCAGTGCTTTTATAAAGTGTAAGCTTTGCATCAGAAATCCAAAAAAACCAACGTTCTAATCCAAATAAAGCTTGAAGCAGTGAAGACTCTGTGTTCACCTGAGTCAAATCTTTTTTGTAACACTCTGATATATGAGGTTTAAGGCCTAATAGAAAAATCCTTTTTCATGCAATATTAACTTGTTTTGCTTCAGCCTGTCCCAAGCTAACTAATGACAGCTACAGGGATCAGATGAGGGACTGGAGCTGTAGAAACTCAGAGCCGACGTGGTTTAGAGACATGAACCACAACAAGGACAAAACAAACATCTCACACACGTCTCATGTGTTTCTCTGAGGTTTCTCTGCCTGCTTCTGTACTGCCTGTCATGAAGGGCTCACACCTGCTACTGTTCCCTCTGAGCTAGAAGTGAAATAACAGTGACACTTTTTGTTTCTCCTCTGAGGCAGAACCTTCAAGTTATAGATAACAAACAGAAACATTTACTTTTACAGCCTATAGTGCAAACAAATGTTTAATTAAAGACGTTAATCTGTCGTTAAAAAAAAAGGGTACGAATAATACTCAACTTTCTCTGTGGGAACGTGTCTGTTTTTGAGCTGTGATTTGGTAAGAGAACACCTGAAAGTGAGGAATCCCTCATTAGTCACACACCTAGGGAGAGCGTTCTACCACATCGAGTCATCACTGAAAGAGAGAACAACAAAAAAGTGTGGGCCACAAGCAAGAATATGGAGTGATTCATGAGTTTCCTCAGCCTCCATGATCTCCTACAGAGGGTTTCCCTCGACAAGACAACTCTATTTTCTATCTTTGACTTCTTTTTGTGTGTGTCTTTTACTAGCTGTCAAATCTTAGACATAAGTTGTGCTGTTGCGAGCCAAACCCATGTAGGAAGTCTGACATCATGCAGTAAGCGAAAGGTGACATGTTGGTACTGAACGTGTCGGTGTCAGAGCCCGTTCTGATGTTTCAGGAATAAACAAAATGTCAGTGGAAAAGAGGTTAAGACTCAGAAACTATTGACATTCTGCTCAATGACATGAGAGCAGTTTGTTTGCAACAAGGGGAACTTCATTCAAACTTCTTTGAAACCTCAGAGTTGTGAAACAGAACACGACTCCCACTTATCGCTTCACCTCCATTATTGGTACACATTGATGGTTGCGTGATTTTTGTTACTGACTGTATTGTTTTTTTAAGCTGCTGCATAATCATTTCATCAGAATGGAAACAATCAATACTTCATGATTTCTTTTTCCAGTCAGCTCTTTTTTAAAAGACAAGTGGGACTGTCAAAAAAATAAACTGGTTCTTTATATCAAGTCATGTTTGTTTACTTTGACTCAGAAATGCAAACAGAGCAAAGTTAAATCATAGTTCAGCAGATTTCATGTTAAAGCATGCTGTTACTGGAAAGTTGTCATTTCCATACAGCTGATTTGCTATAGTTTAATTAGATGACGTTGGTTATTAGTGGAACAACTGCCCACAGTGTCTACAAACATGTACAGAGAAAAAACAGTTTCTATAATTCTACAGTTCATTTAGACATTTTTAGCCAAAGTGACGTACATCAGATAGTAAGTACAACACAAGCAAGGAGCGAGAGAAGAGGAAACAACGTCAGTAAGTGCAAACAAACAGCTTTAAGTCTGATCGGACACACAGGTGCTGACAGGAAAAGCACAACATCGACAGCTGTTCTTGAGAGTTCTAATCAGCATCAAAACAACCCTTAAAATCGTCATTATCAAATAAAACCATCATCATCATTATCGCCTTTAATAATATCATGAAGTGCACATGTTTATTAAAGTGCTGAGATTCTCTAGTTGAAATGACTACATATTTGTAAATATACATGCTGACCATTTCTACCACCCAGATGTTGAACGCAGTCATTGAAACAAAACACAGATTGATAATCAAAACTCTTTAGTCATCCATGCAATATGTCTTTCTGACATATCTTCCCCGCAACCCCCTCAAGTAAAAATCAATTTTCAATTTTCACAGCATCTATAAACGCTTCTGATACTGCTGAATAACAGAACATTTAACTGGAGTATATGTTCATCCAGCTTCACATTATGCTTTATGTTCCGTGTTACGTTAAAGAAATGTTCACATACTGAAGTATAAAGTTGATCTAAAGGCACAAGTTTTGACACATGACAGATTGGCTCCAATGGTAAATGTTCAAGGCTCATCATTAAGCCGTGACTTCCTAAATTAAGTCCTAGCTGAAGACCTTTGTTTCATCTCATAGTCTATTTTCTGTCTGGCTCTGTATTGTCCACTATCAAATAAAGGCAGCACATTCACTGTTGTGTCTGTGTAGAATTATAACTGTGTTACTCAGCTTAAAGTTCACATTTTTGAGTAGTACTAGTAAGGGCTCA